ATTGTCTCATGCATTAAAAACCAAAAGTATTAAATATTTTTTGTATATAGCATACTATTTGAGTTACAGATACAAAACAAAGTATTTTAATGTATATAATGGGTAATAATGATGAAAATTACGATAATTTTTAAGCTCACCCTAGTCTAATCACATATTTACACGCGAACACTGTAATTGTCCAATACCACAAAGGCGTCCAACAAAAACGACAACAATGCCTGCGCAGGATTCGCGTCACGTTTCTCCTCATTATGTCACAAAGATGCGCGCGCGCAGCCCTGCGAATTCCACATTCAAATTTACATCACGCACCCATTTTTATGTATGAGATAGATATTAACTTCCTTGAACGTAAACTGATAAAGTTTTTGTTGATATTAATTCAGGACAACGATGCGACGTGATTTTATAAATACTAATGAATGGAATCAAACACTTGAGTTTGTTCAACTATCTTGTAAATATTAACGGTTTGGATAAGAAGCTCTAGCGTCTTGTAGGATTGGGCTTTCGGTACTGTCACTAACACTTTCAAATGTGGGAGAACCATGCTTTGGCAGAAATAGCTGGACCGAAGTGATACCACGGCCTCACAGAAAACCGGCGTGAAAAATCACTGCGTTGTGTTTCGCCATATCAGTGAGGTTGCCGGAGGCCGAATCCTTCCTCTATCCCCCACCCTCCCCAATCCCTAATCCCCAAAAGGTCGGCAACGTTTTAGTAACTCCTGTGTTGTTGCGGAGGCTAGAGTGAATAGGCTCTTAATAAACTAGTGCGTCTTACCATCAACGATTGCATCCCTGCTTACCATCAGGTGGGATCGCAATCAAGCACTAGTTTATTGCAAGTAAAAAAAATAATATCCATAGGCGGCGCTGATTGCTTACCATCAGATCACCAGCCTGCTCGTTTGCCGACCTACCACATTGAAAAACACTACGTAAGCGTTGTTTCACGCCGGTATTCTGTGAGGCCGTGGTATCACTCCGTGCCGAAGCATGGATCTCCCACACTTAAAAGCTATAACCTCCCTTTATCGTTTATTAAATTTAATTTTCACAAAACATCCACATCACATTACGTTTATAGATAATGAGCTGTTATAAGGCAAAATACTAATGTAAACGTGATACGCTCTTCAAGGTAAGCAAAAAATTACATGTTAATTCTATATATTATTCACTTAGCTGCTGTCCAAATGCTTAAATAGTCAGTATTTTTTTATTATTAATTTGCACCTGTTACTTATGAGACTTAACACTATGATCTCATTAATTACTACATTGTAAATATCTTCAATCCAATGTCACAGTTCAACGGAAGGTGTTATAGCGTTTTGTAAATTCCGCGTCAAAATAGGCAAAATTACATAATCATGGCCTTTCGTCTCCTTCATATCATGATCAACATCACTTGCTGGTGCCAGGGTTAGGCTGTGCTAGGTTCATTCTTATGAGAGGTCAGGTTGTCAGGAGAATTGAATATGATGGTTTAAAAGGTTCAGGTTTATCAGAGAGCATTACAGTCCTTTTTCTGATAACTATGTAGTGCTTTAATATTATTCTTATTTTAAAAGAGTAACGAATGGAGTTTCTTGCTCGTTCTTCTCCATTCGAATCTACAATTTGGAATGACTTCGCTATTTTGACGTTTCAAAAGTACCTATTTATGGTTTAGTTGGAATAAATGATTTTGACTTTGACTTTGACTTATACGTATTCAATAATATTCATTGGATCATTAGAGACGATCTCCGGCTCCTGGCCGCCCGACCAGAACCAGACCCGAGCGTCCGGCGCGTAGCGTTCCGCGCGCGGCCTCAAGAGCCAATAGACCACCACAGAGCGGGACCCATAGGGCTGATTTTCAGCCGGAGTTGCGTGGTAAGCGCAATGAGGCACCTCAGCCTAGGCCCAGAACAATAGAAAGAACGGGGGGTTTTAAGTCAGTAAGAGTCTGACACTCCAGACACCGCTTACGGTGGCCGGAGATCATCTCTCGAAAATATGTAAGGCTGATCTGACTAGTTATAATCTGTGTGACCTGTTAACGTCCTACGTTGCACCAAAAACAAGATACAAAGAATAAGGCTGTGAACGGTACACAGAGTCTGCAATAAATAAATCTCAAATTAATTACGTCCAATTTGACAAGAACCGTGCTTAGAATGTCAAACATTTTTATGGAATAGCGGGCAAACGGAGCGGAGGGAGGTTACAAGTATGTATGTTGCTGGCCTTTTACAATATAATATCATGTTTCGATTTTATATTCAGTCACTAACAAACGATTACAGATTTGTGAAATCGAATTATTTCGGAGATGTATATTATTATAAGGTAATATTTCAATAAGCATAGATGGCATGTTATAAGTTGTGGTAAAAACGCTTGTAGCTTTTATAATTTACAATATTTCGCTCAGAATACATTTCAATTTACCAGAAGAATCAATAAATACAGGAAAAAAACTTAATTAAGTATACATAAATAATAAATAAAATACTTAAATAAATAAGAATTTTAAGAAGGAGTAGGTACATACGGTTTTTTAAGGACATTTTCATTATAGTGTTTTACAGTTGTTTGTCTGTAGGTCTTGAAGAGAAGAAGGCTCATTTCAAAATATAGTTTTCTACTGTTATACTTTGTCTAATCACGACAAAATATAAAAGAAAGTCGCTTTCTTAGTCCCTATATAACTATGTAGTATGTAATATTAATTGTAGTACTATGTCCTATGTAGTAGTAATTCTTTCACTGATAGATAGCTACAATTTTTCTGAGCGCTATTGGTTATTTCAGAAAAGCACCTAAACAACAGACTATTTTCCAACACAGAATAGTTAGAATTTAGATACACAGTCAAAACATATTAAAAACTAGCTCCCGCCAGCAGGTTTGCCTGCGTGCTATGTTGATAAAAACCTATGTCCTAATCCAGGGTGTGTCCTATGCTTGTGTCAAATTTTATCTAGATCCGTCCAGCCGTTTCGGCGTAATTAAGTAACAAACATTGTAAATTTCGCATTTATAATACATAATATATACATTATAACTAACGTTTAGGTAGAGATATGGTTTTGACCGAAGCTCCAAACAAAAATAATACAAAATTCTACTAAACTTGTAACTAAAGTCATTTGTAGAAGGTTTGTATCCACCTCCTTTTAACCCCTGACCTTCCAGCGCGGATCGAAATGTTAACACGAAACTCGTTTCTTTATCATTTTTGTTAAAATACACACAAACTCGATCTGCTAACTTGGATTAAAATTGAAACCTGTTCAATCGCATGTATACCTACTCGAAATCACAACATATGTCTTCTTGACTTCTCTAAATGACCCAAAGACTGGTGGAGAATATCTTTGAGAGTCAATTAACTACTAAGATGAGGGACTCAGAAACTCTCGAACCAAACATTACAACTTTGATAAAAGCTGATATAATGAAAAAAGCCTATTGAAGAACTACAATCATTATTTGCTCTATTTTTTTTATGTGATAAATCGGCAAATGAGTAGACGGATTACCTGATGGTAAGTCATCAGCGCCGCCCATGGACACCCGCAACGGAGGAGTTACGAGTGCGTTGCCGAGTTTTTAGGGATTAGGGATTGAGGAGGGATTGGGGGTGGGGAAGCATTGGGCCTTCGGTAAGCTCACTCACACGGCGAAACACAATAACACGTTTTCTGTGAGGCCGTGTATCACTCCGGTCGAGCCGACCCATTCGTGCCGAAGCATGGCTCTCCCACACTTAATGCTACAAACTAGAAAGTACTTCTACACTACACGTGGATAATTCTAAATTAGGCTGATGTAATCCTTACTAAGCAATAGTAACACTTCATCAGATTATATCTAGGGTTATAAATAGTAACTTGTTTATTGTCAACAAGAAGGTAGGTTAGCTACAAAGTGGAACAATAGAAGTATCCACGCGAACTCACAATTAGGATCGAAACCTATAAAACAATCTCTGTGAAGACATAAACTTATATATTTATAGAGGAACAGACAATTCCTTACAATCACGTGCAAGTAACAATAATTAAATATAATGAAGATCAATTTATCGAGGAAAATAAATTGTCGTATCAATTGCGTTAATTATATTCAAGGGAATACATTGTTTTCAAAAAAGCACACACAGTTACTAATGAGACTGATTTAATAGCGAATAAGTTTTTTTTATGATATAAGTCGGCAAACGAGCAAACGGATTACCTGATGGTAAGCAATCGGCGCCGCCCGTGGACACCCGCAACACCAAAGGAGTTACTAGTGCGTTGCCGGCCTTTTGGGGATAGGGGTTGCGGATATAAGGATTGAAAAGGGATAGGGGAAGGGGAGGGACTGGGCCTCCAGTAACCTCACTCACACGGCGAAACACAACGCTGTGGGTTGTTTCACGCCGGTATTCTGTGAGGCCGTGGTATCACTCCGGTCGAGCCGACCCATTTGTGCCGAAGCTTGGCTCTCCCACACTTTAAATGTTTCAAAAGCTGATTTTAGAAAAATAGCTCCTTGACTTGCTCGTCATGTTGTATCAGTGTCGTTTACGTAGGTACTCTGCATGATAACCCATTAATTGTTATTCGTTTAAATATTTAATCGCAACTTTGGTAATCAATTTTTTTTGATACACATGTGATCAGTGTTCTTTCAATTTAAGTATGGCGAGACGTCTGAAAGTGTCAATTTTCCCAAAGAAATTACATAACATTTTTCCTACTATCAATCAAAGTCAATAAGTAGCAAATAACTTAAGGGATTAGTGATTCTCTGATGGTGCGATGACAATGGACGACCCTTAACTTGGTAGGGTGGACGTCTACACCTGCGACAATAGAGATATCTTCAATGCACGAAGTTTCATAATCACAGTCTGGTTCTGGTTACTGTGGAACTTGGCTTACAAGAGCTGCAGTGATTGGGAGTGTGATTGCGAATTGATGTCAGAATATTCATCAGATTTGTCTTCTTCCACAGCCAAACCTTATCAAAGCAGCAGGCTACCCAGTAGAGAAGCACCGAGTTTACACCCAAGATGGCTATATACTGCAGATGCACAGGATTCCGGCCGGAAGACGGATCGTCAGACGAATTGACGAGCCAAGCGCTAAAGGAAAGAAGGTCATCATGATTGTACACGGCCTCTCTGGCAGCAGCGGAGACTTCGTCATAATGGGACCCGAGAAAAGCCTAGGTACGGGTGTAAACAATTCCCCCCTAACAGAAAAGAACATGCACCAAGATATAAAGAACCTGAACGTCTCAAAACAATAAATTATACTTGTCTCTGTTATTTTTCCAGCTTACATTTTGGCTGATGCTGGCTACGATGTCTGGTTGGCCAATCTAAGGGGTACCGACTACAGCAGCCACGTCAATCTTACAAAAAGCGAACAGAAATTCTGGGAATTCAGGTAAAGACCCGGTTCCTGTTGTTAATGATAATGTTTCAAACCTATAACCCAAACCAGAGGTTAGAAAAACGTATTATCGATTTGTTGAACAGCTTCCACGAACACGGCAAATATGACCTGCCGGCTATGATTGACCACGTTCTGAACGTGACGGGGGTGGAGAAGATCATATACCTGGGCCACTCCATGGGAACCACCAGCTTCTTCACTATGATGTCCATGAAACCAGAATACAATGACAAATTATCATTCTGTGTGGCGATGGGAGCCGCTATCTATTTGGAAAACGTAAAACCGCTTGCAAAATTAGCGCTGGTGAATTTGAATTTAACGGTAAGTTTGTTATAAAATATGATAGGACAAGGCGTCAAACGAGCATACGCATACGCTTTACGTGATGGTAAGCAATCAGCGCCGCCCATGGACACTCGCAAAACCAGAGCAGTTGCAAGTGCGTTACTTTTGGGAACAAGGGGTTTTAGGGACTTAAATGAAAAGGACCTCTAGTAATACATAACATACATATACATACATGTAGTATCTCGGGACTAAGGGGTGTCAAATGACAAACTACTGTTTAGCGTCACGATCCATTTATTACTGCCCTGCTTTCCACAATAATGATGCTTACTATAATCTTACACATACTTACACACTAACATGCATATACTCACACCACATTACAGGGGTTGATTTGAAAAAAAAAATTTTTTGGTAAACAAAATGTTTTTTTTTTTTTATAACTATATAGAATAAACAAAACCATGTAGTTTAATAATAAAACTAACAATCTACTGAAAAGAATGTACTGCGCGCAGAAATTCTATACACTACTTAATATTAGTTACAAACGGCTTAGTTCTATTCTTATGAATAATTTCTCGTTTATTGTTTTTCAATATAACAACATTTGGTCCAATATCCTCTAATACTAAATAAGGTCCATCATACAGTACTTGTAACTTAGTCCCGGTTTCACTTTTCACTAATAATAAATCGGATGGATTATATTTCACTGAGTTCACTTTTTGGTCGTACACACTTTTTCTGTTTTGTTTCACTGATAACAAATTTTCACGAGCGTCTTTTTGCGCAACTTGTAATCTATACCTTAATTCTAAACAGTAATTATCTATGTTATACAATGGTTCAACTCTATTACTTAGTCTACTAGGAATTACACAATGTTTTCCAAATACTAATTCATACGGCGCATATTTAGTGGATATATGGACAGTATTATTGTACGAAAAACACCAGTAGGGGAGCCAGTAGCTCCATGCCTCCGGGTGCTTATCACACTGAATGCGAAGAAAAGCTCCTAAATGTTTATGCGTATTTTCAATCGAGCCTAAAGTTTGATGATGGTATGAAGTGCTATGTAATTTTTCGATTTCGAGTAATTTACAAACATCTGCCATAGTTGACGATAAAAATTCTTGACCTCTATCAGTGACAATGCATTTTGGTATACCGAACCTTAAAATAAAATTATTAACTAGGGCCTTAGCTACAGTAATAGTTTCTTTATTAGGTAAAGGATAAGCCTCTACGAATTTACTTAAATCGCACTGTAATGTGAGAATGTAACCATTCCCGTCTAAGTCTCTATCTAAAGGACCAACTATGTCTAAGAAAATTCTTTCAAAGGCAGTTGTGGCCGTAGTTGTAATTTCCAATGGCTCAACTGTATGCCTTGAGTGCTTCATTTTTTGACAGCTCTGGCATTTTCGAACATAGTTTTGGACATCTTTCTCTAGTCCTGGCCAGTAAAAGCATTTTTTTATATTGTTTATCATTCTACGTACCCCTGCGTGACCGCTAGTGGGCAGTAGATGAAAATCGTTTAAAATAAACTCCTTATCTTCATTCTTATCAATTCTCGTAACACCTCTTAAAATGCATATCCTAGGGCCTAGGTAATTTTCATTATTTTTAACTTCATTTATGACGTCTTTTATAAACATTTCATTACTTTCATTTTTAATAATACATATTTCGTCGACGTTTATATCCTTACAAAAATCACTCAAATACAGCACAAATACGTCTCGCGTGAAATTGTTTTTGTAATCGAGGTTTATGTATATTTTCTTACATTTTGAATTAAATGCAAAACATTTCCATTCAACATCAATTAGTCGTTTATCTCTCATTTTTCTTAACTTTTCTCCTTCTATTAATAACATTTCCACAGAGTTATTTGGAATCCTCAATATCTCCACGACTTGCGGGTGCGCAGGCCGCTCGTCTGTGCATACATTGGGGGATCCAATATCAATCCTATCACTTTCTTCCATTCTCCTCTTTTGTGCTCGCGTCATAACAGTCATAATTTGTTCATTCATCGCTTTCAAATCCTCTGACGTAATTACTATTCGAGATAACGCGTCCGCTGCAGGATTATTTTTACCTTGCACATAAACTATCTTGTAATCGTATTCATCAAGAGCCAATCGAAATTTTAAAAGTCTACTACTAGGATCTTTAATTCCAAATAAATATACTAACGGTTTGTGGTCTGTCATTATCGTAAATGATTTTCCAAACAAATATGGGCGAAAGTATTTTACACCCCAAACGATAGCTAGAAGTTCCTTTTGGATAGTAGGGTAATTACGTTCCGATTTATTTAATGGTCGACTTGCGTAAGCTACTGGGCGCAAATCTTTATTACAAAGAATTGCACTTATCGCAATACCTGAGGCGTCAGTTTGCAAAATAAATTCGCTGTTAGGTGAAAAGTCTGGATATTGAAGTATAGGCGGCGATGATAAAGCTTGTTTTAGAAATTGAAATGACTGATCACAATTTTCAGTCCATACAAAGGGTACATTCTTCCGACAAAGTTTATTTAGTGGCTCTGTTATCTCCGCAAAATTTTTAATGAACTTTCTATAGTAATTACTAAATGCTACAAATCGCCTAACTTCGTCAGAATTTTTTGGCAAAGGATAATTTTTAATTACTCTAATTTTATCAGGATCTGGCAAAACACCATCCTTAGATATCGTATGACCGAGATATAACATTTCCGTTTTTAAAAATTGACACTTGTTGGGGTTTAATTTCAAATTGACTAATCTTAACCTCTCAAGGACATCAATTAAGTTTTTATTATGTTGTGATATATTACGTCCAAAAACAACAAGGTCATCGCAATAAATAATACATTTATCAAACGTAAGGCCGGACATTGCAACAGTCATGACCCGTGAAAAAGCACTAGGGCTTATTTTCAAACCCATAGGTAGTCTTTTCATTTGGTATTGGCCAGTATTAGTCGTAAATGCTGTAATTTTACGACTATCATCTTTTGACGTTAGTCGCACCTGATAATAACTTTGAGATAAATCTAAATGTGTGTAGTAAACAGCACCTGATAGCGAGTCCAATATTTCGGTAATATTGGAAGTGGAAACTTATCGTCCTGTATAGTTGAATTTAGCTTACGATAATCCACAACCAACCTCCAACTTTTGTTCTCACCATCTGTCTTTTTGGGAACTAAAAGAATAGGACTAGACCATTCACTTTGCGATTTTTCAATAATATCATCTTGTAACATTTTTTTGATTTGCTTTTCAACTTCAGTTTTCTGACTAAAAGGTATACGATAAGGTTTAGTATAAATAGGTTTAGAATCAGGTTTCAAGGCGATAGACTGTTCACATATCGGTGTAGTAGTTAATTTTTCCCATGGTAATTGGAATACATCGGCGTACTTTACACAAATGGATTCTATTGTTTGTCTTTCCGTAGAATCTAAATGATCCAATTTCAATAACGATAACAATAACTTAGCGCGCTGGGAACCGGACTCACATTTCTCAAATGCGCAAATTTCATAGTTGCTTAGCAAATCTAACTCTGGTTTAAAAATAGGTAAAGTAATATTTTTATCGCTAGAATTAAGTATTCGAATAGGAATAATTTTATTTTGAGGTCTAACTATTAAGCTTGCCAATAATACATCTGTATGTAATTGTTTTGGTAGTATAACACAGTCTTGTGTTATATCTGAATCTAATTTTATATAATGAATAGATTCGCAACGAGCTGGTATATGTAACGATGAATTACTTATTTGAGGTATTCTATATAACGGCAAAAATATTTTTTTGTCACCAACAGTGAGTTTTAATAAAGATTTTTCTAAGTCAAAAGTAATTGAACTAAATTGATCTAAGAAATCTTGTCCCAAAATACCTTCTGACTTACAAGGTAATTTTTCAAATACATAAAACTTATGTTGGAAAGTAAAATTGTCAACAGTTCTTAAAGTAAGATAAACATAACCTTTTGAAGAACACTTTCCGCCTATCCCGTTTATAGTAATCCTATCTTCATAAACATGTAATTGATCTCCTAATACAGAGCTACTCACGGCTGATAAGGTCGCACCCGTATCTAAAAGCCACGAACACCTGTTCTCGTTTAAATATAATGTTACATAATTAGCACTGCTTACGTCACATGTTAAAATATTAGGACTGTTGGGATCGAAAAAACTGATTATTATTATTTTCCTGATTATCAGTCGAACCTTCCGTACCCTCAGATTTAGTTGTATCCGTTTTTGCAACGTTTATTTGTTGTTGGCCTCTACTATTGTAAACAACTCGACCGCGATTTGGTCGCGTGCGAAAACCACGAGATTGTCTTCCACGAAATGCGAAATTATTGTACTGAAATGTACGATTCCTGTTAGCATAAGAATTATTGTTACCTCTATTCTGGCTGAAATTACCGCGAAAACCCGATTGGGATCTAAAATGATAACTTCCCCGGCCACGCAATTGTAATGTATGTGACTTACCTCGAATATTTAGGATCGAGTTTGAGGTCGTTGGTTGGGGTTGAGATAACTCCTCGTCCAGGGCTGCTCGCACCGCGTCCTTCAGGTCGGTGTAATTGCGTGCTGCAATAATAGTGCTTAACCTCCTGTTACGTAATCCGTCGGCAAATTTCTTAACTGCCAGTTCCTCATTAATAGGTCGTAAAATTTCAAACGCTTCATTATTCGATTTAGCTTGCGATATAGTTAAATCAGTAAAGAGTTCTTCGAGCTTAGAACCAAAATCCGCAATTGACAAGTCATTTTGGCGTATACTATTTAGTTGAGTCATTAAAGAATTAGAAGATTTCTTTGTTAATAAAAACAACTTCATATCCTTAATCAAATCCGTGCAAGAATCGTAATCTCGCTTAAGTTTAAGTTTGGCGGTTTTAGTTAACCTAGTTTTTAATACAAAAGAAGCAAGTAATTTTTTGCAACTGGTCTCCGTGAGACAACAATCATATAGTTCTACGCTATCGATAATTTTTTCAACGCTTTCCTCTGTACTGTCCATAACCGGCACTAAACTAGCGGCAGTTTTCAAATTAAATTTCTCCATTTTAGTAGTCTGTTCGGAACTTACACAATAAGTTTTTATTTTGCTAAATGTATCTTCTATCCTACTTATTATATCTAAGAAAAATATCTCCGTAAATTCTTTAGTAAACAACTTTTTCTCTAAAATTAACTTACAAAGAGTTTTATTTTCACTATATAATTTTTCTGCATCTAAAAATTTTCTTTTAATGTAATTAACATTCAGTTCCCGCTTACTGGGACCCAACTTTCTTAAAGATACCTTTATCTTTTCAAGTTCGTTTAAGATAGATATTAAATCATTAGCCATCTGATAACTGTAAAATGTTTAGATGCTTATTACATTTCTAACTTAACACATTTAAAACTAAAATATATACGTAGTCGAACATGTGACTTAATTACTACTAAAGAAACAATAGAAAGAGAAAAAAAAATTGATGCGAACCGAAGTCGAAGTCATTACATGTCCCGAGGTCCTGCTTCCTGATCACCGTCTCTCTCGTTCTGACTCCTCCGTGCTCCAGACAGCCTCATCCTGATCCGCCGGAATGCATCCTCTCTGAGCTGGTTCTGCACCATAGCCAAGTGACAGTTTCTGTACTGCTTGAATAGTATGTACAGAATAAACGCAGCAACGATTGCCAGGAAAACAGAAAATATAATATTGTTGGTCTGTAAGTGCGTGGACGCATCAGCAGTCGCACTTGCTTCTCCACCACCGTGTTGATTTATGATAACTTCTTTGTTCTCACAGGCACATTTCGAGCATTGTTTCCCCATAGTTATTATTTAACGCGCATCCTGGCAGGGTCGCCATGTAGTATCTCGGGACTAAGGGGTGTCAAATGACAAACTACTGTTTAGCGTCACGATCCATTTATTACTGCCCTGCTTTCCACAATAATGATGCTTACTATAATCTTACACATACTTACACACTAACATGCATATACTCACACCACACCTCATTCACGCCGCGAAAAACTATGATGTGGTTGTTTTACGCTAGTTTTCTGCCAAGCCTTTGCATCACATTGGTTTTGTTATAAAAACGCAGACGAAGTACTTAATAAGGCATAGTAGCCAACAAGATAGGTGTTATAAATTATTATAAACGCTACATTGTGACAGAAGAAAGTCATTAGAATTAAATTGATATGACCATATAAATTTTCAGAACATTATGCGAGAGAGAGGCGTCTGGGGTATCCAGCCATCGCTGGTTCATTGGGCGGTGAAGAATCTGTGTACACTGAATCAGCCCGAGATTGATATGTGCGCTTACTTCATATTTTCTATTATCGGCGAAGATCGGGAACAACATGACTTGGTGAGAAATTAATGTATTTTTTACCCGTCTAACGAAGAGAGGATATTCTGTGTCATCCACAACGACAAAGTCATTGTTTTGACCAATCGATATGTTTCAAACAATGTATATTCTTGTGTATAATAAAATACCTATATTTCATTCAATAATAAAATTATTTATATTAATAAATATATAAAATAGTAGCCAGTCTGATTGATTTGAGCAAGTACGGAATATTCACGACGAAAGTAAGTAATACGTATAGGCTTCAACCATATTCGTAGAACATAGGGCAGGTCTTCCACGCCTCACAAACTCCACAGATGCAGATTGAAACTGTAGATGACCCATTTTCATTGCTTCAATATGGCACCATATAACATGACGTTGCCTAAAAACAAGGTCCTTATTTAAAAATAGTATAAAAACTAGTATTTTTTACATCATCAGCCTATAAGTGCCCCCACTGCTGAGCAAAACTCTTTTCTCACACGGAGAAGGTTTGAACATTAATAAGTAGGTAAATTAATAAGAAAATTTAAGTCAGTGGTGTCTTAATAATAATATAAAGTTTCCTAACATTCCCTGGTACTTACCAGGTTTCGGATTTGTGCCTGAGAAGCATACTATATATAGCCTTTAAAGTTTAAAGCCAAGAAGTAATGAACATTAAATTGGTTTTTTACAGGACATATTCCCTATCTACCTGCAAAGGATCCAAATGTCGCCGTTCCGTTCATTGGAGCATTATGGAAAAATTGCCTTAACAGGTTAGCATCAATTATTTCAAATTACTGACCCGCTCCGCACATATATCACTGTACATATCAGCCGGGGTTGCGGGGTAAGCGCAATGAGGCATCGCAACCTCGGCCCAGAGCAGGAGAAGGAACAGGGGGATTTTAGTCAGTGAGAGTCTGACACTCCCTCCCGCCGGGTCCTGGGCGGGAGAAGTTATTGGATGATTTTCCTCTCACGAAAAAAATACATATAAAGCTTCCTTTTCAATAACACTATCAATTTAAAAAAACACATCAAAATCCATGGCATGGTGTGTGACAGAAAGCGTCTTTGTTTTATACTATATACTGAGGATATCGTTTAAAATTTAAAATGTTTGACTGCACGGTTGGCGCGGTGGCTGGGCAACTGGCTGCGGCGCAATGTTTCGCGGGTTATATTCCCGCACGGAACAACTCTTTGTGTGATCCACAAACTGTTGTTCCGGGACTGGGCGTGATGTGTATGTTTGTAAACGCAACCACGACAAAGGAGAAAATACTAGTGTGGCGGAATTATTTGAGCCACTGTTTGGTAGTTGCGATAATACCACCTACGATGGTGCACGCCTATACACAACGGCGTCGTTGAATAAACATGACATGCGTTTGAATCAGTAGGAATGTACAGAAGGTTCACACAAGCATACATTATGTGTATGTTTTTTTTTTATCGTATATGTCGGCAAACAAGCAAACGGATTACCCGATGGTAAGCAATCAGCGCCGCCCATGGACACCCAAGGACAACCAAAGGATTTTCAAGTGCTTTGCCGGCCTTTTATAGATTAGGGTTTCGGATATTTAAGGGTTGGGAAGGGATGGGGGAGGGGTACGGATTACGCCTCTTGTAACCTTACTCACACAGCGAAACCCAACGCTGTGGTTGTTTCACGCCGGTTTTCTGTGAACCCGTGGTATCAATCTGTTCGAGTCGAACCATTCGTGCCGAAGCTTTGGCTCGTGGCTCTCCCACACTTATATGTATATCTATTTTTTATTTTACATTTATATTATTATCTTACTATAATTGAATCGTATTTTCGGAAAAATATATCAGTCAGTTACACCTAACTAAACTAACTTACTAACTAAACATTGTCTAAAACTTTTAAACTTATTGTTTAAAATTGAACAAAATTATGATGCTTTTTATTTCAGGAGTGTTCACGACATTCAGTGGTGGTGTATATGGTCCAGTGAAACCATACAACTTGACTAACGTTAGAATACCTGTCACCTTGGTATACGGAGAGAATGATCAATTGACTGAAAAGTCGGTAGGTATTGCTGCTATTTTTGCATCATCATCATCAGCCTGTTCCCGTTCCCTGCTGGACAAAGGCCTCCCTAATTGTACGCCACGGAGCTCGATGTTCAGCTCACCTCATCTAACCACTGCCAGCCAACCTGTGGATATCGTCAGTCCACCTAGCTAGAGGGCTTCCTACACTACGTTTGCCTAGACGAGTCTCCACTCTAGAACACGTCTACCTCAACGGTCATCGGGTCCCACTACCACTTAAGTTTGCTAATCCTTTGGGCTATGTTGACAATTTTAGTTCTCTGTTGGGTCACATCATCATCATCATCATCATCACAAAGCCCGCTACGCAACATTAAATTGGTGAATCAGTCGCACTGTAAGTGTCCACGTCTAAACCTTGTATGTCATTATATTTTAAACGACGACAATGTTAATGGTAGTTACCTGAACAAATGAGCTATCAGACCACAAAAATGGAGCCCAGCTGATGTTTAGTTGAGAGATAAACCAGCTTTGGCACGAATGGTTCGGCTCGCCCGGAGTGAAACGACTGCCTTACAGAAATCGGCGTCGTGTAAGTGAGAGGCACTTCGTGTTTCGTACCTACTACCCTACTCTGTTCATCAGTTATCAGCTTCTTTTTGTGTCCTACTGGCTATAGACCTCTACAATAGCTCACCGAACTCCATCTATAATGTGACTTATTACTGTCAGTTACCTGGCACCTAACTGAAGGACATTCTAATGATAAATCGGTTTTTTCACCTTAATATTTGTATTTAATTTTTACTTGCTTGAATGCCTGGTTTGTTTTTGTAATCAGTTTTATGTTTTCTTTTATCTGTCAGGTATTTTGGTACATCGTATTGTTTGTCTTTGCAAGAAATAAATGCCTTATTCAATTCAATTAATTGCTCAAGGCATGTTTTATACTGTAACACACGTCTACCATAGCGAGTTGCTGATTCGTGAATCAGCAACTCGCCTTCTGAGTTTATGGTAAGCACGTTTTGTAAAGGAGGTCTATAGTCTAGTAGAGAATTTTCACTGAATTTTAACACGTTAACCGCCGCGTAGGTCACCGGTGACCTACGGTAGCGGAGGATTTGCCTTCAATAGTTTTCGGTCGGCAGTCAAAGGCTTAATGATGATAGAAGATGATGATGATAGTAGTAGATAGCAAGTTTTAGATATATCGCAAAGAATAAGCAAGCTGTAGTGTACAAGTCCCAACTGTCGCAAGAAAAATAGCGGTCGGTACAGACGTGTGTGAAGAGTATAAAACATGCCTTGAGCAATTAATTGAATTGAATAATGCATTTATTTTTTGCAAAGACAAACAATACGATGTACCAAAATACCTGACAGATAAAAGAAAACATAAAACTGATTACAAAAACAAACCAGGCATTAATCATTGCAAAATCAAGCAAGTAAAATTTGAATACAAATAGCAAGGTGAAAAAACCGATTTATCATTAGAATGTCCTTTAGTTAGGTGCCAGGTAACTGACAGTAATTAGTCACATTATAGATGGAGTTCGGTGAGCTATTGTAGAAGTCTAGAGCCAGTAGGACACAAAAAGAAGCTGATAACTGATGAACAGAGTAGGGTAGTAGGTACGAAACACGAAGGGCCTCGATGCGAAAAATACCTATGTTTTTTAAAGGCAATCTAGGTCTTTGCTGTCATAGAATGGGCGCGAAAAAAGACAGCCATAATATATCAAATTATGGAAGAGCTTAAAAAGGAAAAAAAACTATAGTATGTATTCAAGAAAATCCCGAAAAACTGCACTTTGGTGACAGTTTGGTCCCGAAAAACGTCATACAATAGCTACTGTACCTACTCAAAACCCCTAATAACAAAACAAGACTTATTTAGGTATAGTCTAGGTTTAAACCATTTGCTTTTGATTTTGCTTTTGTTTTAAGAAAACGTTGCCCCACATTAGGATTTTCTCCTGTGTCGTGGGTGCGGTTACATATGACACCCAGACCCGGTACAACAATTTGTGGATCACACAGAGTTGTTCCGTGCGGGAATCGAACCCACGACACGTTGCACGGCAGCCAGTTGCCCAGCCACCGCACCAACCGTGCAGTCATGGTACTGAGATTTTGTATTTCGAATCTTATTCTCACCTACCTTCAATTCGAAATACAAAAACTGGCTCAATGTTTTAAAACTAGACTAAATAAAAACCTTGTTTTGTAATAAGACTGAAAGACATTTGGTAAATACCCAAACTGCAATACTTTCAACTCTTTCAAGTCAAACGGCTGCGTGACCGTCCGCGCCGTCGACGCGCAGGATGTTCTTGAACGTCCAAGAGAAGATTCCAGTTAGAACTTGAAACTAGTACAGGTTTTCTCAGTAAATTCACGTGAATAAGTCTTTCGTTTAAGGGCTGATTTTTCAATGGTAAGATAAAAGTTACCTGGGGAATAATTATGATGCTGTCGCGTCAAAATGTTCGTTTAAGACAGTGACAGCCAGCCGGGGTTGCGGGGTAAGCAGCCGGGGTTGCGGGGTAAGCGCAATGAGGTACCGCGACCTCGGCACAGAGCAGGAGAAGGAACAGGGGGGTTTTTAGTCAGTAAGAGTCTGACACTCCCTCCTGCCCGGCCCTGGGCGGGAGAAGTGATTTGATGATTTTCCCCTCACAAAAAAAAAAAAAAGACAGTGACAGCAACAACTTTATTCCTCAGATAACATTTATCTGACTATTAAAAAATCAGCCCTAAATAAATCAAGATACTTACTATGACTAGTAAAAAATACTCAAAATTAAGTAAAGATTATGATCGGGAAACAATCACCGAGGTTACCGGAGGCCCAATCCTTCCCCTCCCCCAATCCCTCCTCAATCCCTATATCTCCAAATCCCCAATCCTTAAAAGGTCTGCAAAGGACTCGTAACTCCTTCGTTACGAGTGTCCGTGGGCGGCGCTGATTGCTTACCATCAGGTAATCCGTCTGCTTGTTTGCCGACCTTCAAAATACATAAAAAAAACAACACTAAAAACTGAATTCTCTTCCTTTTTACAGCAAATCATGAAGTTGGCTGAGGAGCTCAAATATAACGGTGTTCTTGAAGAAGTGAGGCCAGCGTGCTCCTGGCCCAAGTTTAACCATTTCGACTTTCTATTTGCTAAGGATGTAGGCAAGCTACTGAACAAACCACTCGTCAAATTAATAGATAAATTGTACAATAAATATAATTTAGTATGATATTATACTTTTATTTATTTTATTCCTCACTTTTGCACAGCTAAAACCTTTTTCGTTTGTTCCTGTCAACTATACTGCCAGTATTATGAAATCATAATTATATAATATGATTATTTATACCAGAAATATTTAAGTCACTATTTTACTTATAATAAGCTACCAAGCTATCAACATTCTGTTTCTATCATGTAATATAATAGAACATAGTGTGCTGTTATATACCTTATAGTCTTCCTCAATAAATTGACTAACAAACAGAAAAAATATTGTTCAATTCGAACCAGTACCAGAAGTTTTGGAGATTAGTGTGTTCAAACACACAACCTGCAGCTTTATAGTATTAAAGTAAAAAAGAACTGACATAAGATAATGTGATTTGACCAGAATAGGTGGTTATGCCATCATTTGCGACCCAATATACAGGCAACAGGCAAGGCACTTGTATAGTATCTTGCCTATTCTATACAATTAATTAAAGTAATCAAATAATCACTTACATGGTTTAAATAATATGTATTGCTTCATGTAAAACAAGTCTTTATAAAGTATACTTCAAAGGAACTTAAGAAGACACTTAACAAAGTAAATAAAAAGTCTTTCAGTTCAAAACGAAGTGAGAACCAATAAAAAAAAAATAGTGCCCTACAAACGCAATACGAAAATTTTGCCAACTGATATGTGGGGAAGTATAAATAATAAGTCATAAGCATAACAATATGAAGCTACTAGTCCCTGTCTAGACTTCACTTAGGCAGTCAAACAGTTTTTTATATGTTTAGCCATAATTCTCAGGCTCTAAGTAGCATACAATAATAAAAGAATTTTTGAAATTAGAACAGTAGTTGTTGACTTTAGTGTAGTGAAAATTGATTGGTGGATTCATTGACTTTTTTTGTATAGACGCATAGATAACATAACCTTTTCAAAAAAAGGTTATGGGGTCAAAGTTTCTATATTTATTGAATTCTGAGTATCTATCTGTATCTAAGGAATTTAAGTGCACAGTTAACCTTTTCACCGCCACGCCATATCGGTATTCCTATGCCCTGTACGCCAAGCCCGAAAATCTTAATTAAATACCTACAAAAAAATAGGGATTTCAACATTATATCGATACCCATTATTATTATTTTCTTTATCAATACTTGCCAGATAAATGGTCGATCATTAATATGTTAAAAAGAACATTCCAATATTAAATATTTTACAACGTTCCACTCAAGTAGTTCCGAAGTTGTTAATAACATAAAAACAATGATTAAGACACACAACAGTTAAAATGAAAATAACTCTAGGTACAGCACTATTCTCAGTACTGATGTACTTCACTGTCGGGAATAGCCGACATTGGCGCCGTCGACGAGTCTTTTATAAGACATCGTTGCATGTACATTAGAGTTGTACCATAGTGTCATACAGTTTATCGATGTTAGTATCTAATTAAATTCAAAGGCCACAGTAGTTTGTTTTTATTATTCTTGAAATTTACACTTATTGCAACAATTTGGGTTGTTAATGGATTGAATGCAAATAAAACTATTTATTTACCAATCATTTAGTTTAATTATTGAGTTATATTATTAATAATTACTTTGAGATCATATTACTTACATGTCACTTATGAATAATATTATCACGTGATATTATTACATAGCAACAATTTTTATAACAGGAACTTTCTAATATTCTCACTAATCAGATTAATTATATGTATAAAATAAATTAAAATTTTCATATGAAATTGCGTAGTATATACGTAACGATTTTTAAGTATAACGATATTTATATTCTTAAAATAGATACATTATTTAGTTTCTCGTATCTAACCTAATTAAACATTAAAGGATCAACAATCAACAATTTAATAAAGTAAAACTACTTTTTTCTCAGTGCTTACAATCGTTTATATTTTGTTAGAACAATAAAAACTGTAATGACAAATATTACAATACCTTAAGTTACCTAAATTAATTTAAGAATATAATATACGTCAACATGGTACTACATCACTAGCAGTCGGCTCTGCACGACATTGGCGTCATGGGACTTACTTTTTTAACCATAAATTATTTTACTTTTTATCATCAAATATTTAAATGAGGAATATGCATTTTTGTTTACTGTATGCATCTAAATAATGTTTAGACATTCAGCTTTCAAGGTGTATCAATAAAATACATAAAAGTAATGATTTAATAGGTTTATTTTGTATTTTTCTGCGACCTGTTTTTTGTCGAGTATAGCCGTCGTTGGCGCACAGGGCACGCTTGCTCATGTCGGCTATAGCCGACATTGGCGTTCAAAAGGTTAATACAGGGGCAGGGTTACCAGCTGTCATGCAATGTTTTACTTTCGATATAAGTTATTGTTTTAGGTCTGTCTGTGAAATGTTTTTTTTTTGTTTTTATATTTTTAAACACACTCAAAACACATAAAATCCTAGTATGTATGTAGATATTAATATAGAGTGATAGTGCTATGTCAAAAAAAAGGTTAAAAGCAACAGTATTATTAACAGTATCTACACTCTATGGTAACTTTCTTTGCTTGTTTGCCTCCTTGGTAGTTTAAAAAAAGAACTTACCTTAACAACAGTAGCCTTTGTAGCACCAGGAAGCACCTTACCAGCAACCCCATGTTGCGGCACAGGAGCAACTACCTTATTTTCCATTGATTGACTACTGCGATTCAGTTCTATACCTAAAATTATTAACATTATTTTTACTTCTGTGTCATGGGTGCTTTTACAAATATAAAAGTGACTTACATATTACACTTATTATTATACTTCTCATTATTGCTTTGTAGGGTGCTTATGATGTACTTTTGAAAGAGGTGTGATCAAATTTCTTAGTCATTCTTGTACAAGCAAATCTAAAATTTGGAAAGTAAGATTCTAAACCAAATTAAAGCTTAATTCTGGTTTGATGTTTCTTAAAATTTACTAAGCATCTATGAAAATCAAACCAGTTAACAAATAGTTTATCAAACTAAAGTGAGCTAAGTGAATGATAGCAGATGATGTCGAAAATAATAATTATTAGATTGAGAAGAATTACGAAATTGAAGTAAAGTAAGGGTAATTAATAGATAGTGGTTAGGCCATTTATACCTTTTAAAATCAATAATACTGTTATGTTAATGGATCCAGTAAAATTCCTGCAACTAATTTCACAAATGGCGCTTGAGGACATACCTATTCAGTAAAATAATATGTACCTATCGGAATGCCGGGCGGGTAATCTAAGCTTACCATCTTAACTTATAAGACCCTATGGAAACTCGCTGAACGTGCAACCAGAAAAAACAATATCGGTATTTAAGAAATCCTGGCAATTGTTTAGCTACAACGAACCAAAAGATACATGTAGCTATCTGTATTCGTCTCGGGAATTATTTTATACAATTGAAGTAGGAATAATTATAGTAATCATTACCTTTATTAGGCATTGCACTGTGCGCTTACTTTTAAAGACACCATTGATACGTTTTGCATTAATTTATTTAATTCCAATAAAAATTCATGCCTGTGAAATTCAACCCCTAACGAAAATAATAACAAAGAAACGTCATTACTTTTTGGTCAGAAATTGACACTGTCAATGTCAAACTGCTTTATAAAAATATTTTGTAGACGGGATAACGGTCTTTTCCGTATTCAGTTCTTTGAATCGGGAAAAAAATAAGAAAATGATATATTCAAACAGAAGCATACGGAATCGAACAAATTAATAGGATTGCAATATTGACTACACTTTGATGAACCAATCATACCTGCGAACGAATTTCTTTATTCAGCGACGAATGGATTTTTTGTGTTATCTTTGATGACATTTTCTTTGCTGTCAGAGACTCAGAGTGACATGACCTAAATTAATACCCAGTTCATCAGTCCAAGAGTTTAATCTTGTCTTTTGCCTACAGCGATATAAAAAAGCATGATTATAAAAAAAAGACGAGATTATTACTTTCAGTGAAGTAAAAGAGAGATAGCATAAAAATAATGATTGAATAATACAACTTATAAACTTGTATTGGAACACCCTGCCTGCTGTCTAGCTGTTTGTTCGGGTCCGGCATCGGTTTCGTTGCACGAGCATTTCATAGTACATAATTTAATATTATAATTCAATTAATTTACATGTGATTATTTACTACTGAGGTTACTATAATATTTCGACAGTGTTTTCTCGAAGAATAGTCATGGATCTCCACAGGCCTGTCGATCCTAATAAGGTAAAAGTAAATTGGAATCTAATAAAAGATTTTGATAAGTAATTATGAAAAGTGTATTAATTTTTGTGTTTTTTTCTGTGTAGACTTACGAGGAGCTAACCTCGGAGGAGAAGTTGAGGTGAGATATTGATTTGTTTCAATTCCACAGTGATGATCACCTACCTAGTACTCAATAAGTCATACCAAATTGATAAGGGATTACTGACACGTTAAACTCCCTGATGTGTAGAAAAACATGAGTTATTAATTAATTAAATGGGTTTTGTTAGTAGTTCTTTATATTAATATACTCTAATTCTGTGTTGTAATGATGACTATGCTCCTTTAAAACTTTGTTATGTATCAAAACATTTGGAAGCAATTTACTGCCATAAAAATAGTATTTTTTGAATTTGATTGGCACTTCTACATTCTTACATACATGAATATTCAGTTGGAAAACTAATAGAAATAAATTAATAAAATTTGTCTACATAACTGACTGTCAACAAACTATAGACTATTTAATTAAACAATAATTTAAAATGTTACTAATACTGATCAGGTATTTAACAGCAGACATTTGTAGAAAATCACCATTGATAATAATTTATTAATAAAAATGTTGACCTTGTAATCTTGATCGCACCTCATTGATAGAAAGAAACATTTATTGAATTAGTTATGTATATTGATTTTATAATTTATTATCTATAATATAAAAATGAATCACACAATGAGTTGTTACTATGCACATATGTTGAAAAAGCATAATCAATTTTTACTTTAAGTAAAATGTCATCAGTTTCTTTTTATATGATATGCTGGCCTTGCCTGATGGTAAGCACCACCCATGGACGTCTGCAACACCAGAGGAGTAGCAAGTGTGTTGAATTATGTGGCTAAGTAGTGTTATGGGGGGAAGAATGGGGCCTTCAGTTACCCTGCACACTTTGTGAAACAATAATATGGCTGTGTCACACCATTTCTCTGTGAAGTCCTGGTATCATATCGGCTCTCCCACACAGAATGTTAGAAAAATGGGAAAAAGGTCTAAAAGAAATAAAAGTTGGGTATGATAGAGTAAGCTAAGCTAGGTAAAGTACACAGGACAGTTACTGTATAGTGACAATGAGGACATACCACACGGGTAAAATCTAGTTCCGTTTTTATTTACATAAAATTGCAATAAGAAGTATAATCTACAATATTTCGCTTCAGTCTTTGTCAATAGGTATGTCGTGTTTGTCACCTGTTTATACAAAGATAAGTAAATGTGCTGAAAAACTAATTTACACTTGTGCATGAACCATTGAATATCAAAATGAATTGAAATACAGATAATGGAATGTGATATTTGTTCTTGGCCTTGCACTACTTAAAACATGAATATTATTACCCAACTAAGCCTGCCACACTTTTCACTGTTAGTATAAATCTAGTTCAGTCTGACTATCTAGCCTTCTCATTGGTTGGTTAACTTTGCGTCAGCCAATCAGAGCGCCGAAACATCATAACGCCATTTGTAATTTGTATTAGGAACTTCTTCCCGTAAACGAATAAAATATAGCCTAAATATACATACAAACTTACCCTTATACATACTTATACATACAAACTTACCCCTATATAATATTATAATAGACTAGCTACTCTCGCGCGGTTTCACCCGCTGCTCGGCTCCATTTGATCGTAGCGTGATGTTTTATAGCTTAGCAGTCAGGAACATTGTAGCTATCTATCAGTGAAAGAATTTTGGAAATCCGACCAGCGGTTCCAAAGATTACCCCTACATACATAAAAACTTACCCATACCCCCTACATAATATTAGTATAGACAAAGAAAAACAATGTGTTTTACTGAATAGCTAACTTAGCATATTCAGAATCTGATGTTTGTATGTAAATGGTTTCAGATATGACCATCAGAAGCTGCACGAGATGCACAAGGGCCACGAGTCGATGCACACCACGATGGTGATGATCCTCATAGTGACCCTCGTGGTGGCACAGCTCATCGTCATGGAGTGGAAGAAAAGGCATTACAGATCGTATGCTGTAAGTACTTACCTAGTCACGCGTCGCAGAGGCTGGGCAACCGACTTTTTTATGTGATAAGATGGCAAAGGACCTGGCGGATTACCTGATGGTAAGCAACCGCCGTCGCCCATGCACACCTGCAAAAACAGAGGAGTTACGAGTGGGTTGCCGATCTGGGTATTAGGGATATCGAGATTTAGGGATTGGGGGAGGGGAAAGATTGAGCTTCCGGTAACCAAACAACGCTGTGGTTGTTTCACGCCGATTTTCTGTGAGGCCGTGATATCACTCCGGTCGAGCCGACCCATTCATGCCGAAGCATGAAGGAAGAAAGAAAACCATTTATTTATTACGTCACGACATAAATAAGAATACAGGTACACACAAACAAAAAGCCCATGGCACTCCCACACTTTGAGTGATTTAAATGTCGCCGCGTTTAGCCCTCTGATTGGTTGGTTAAATTGTAACAGGCCAATCAGAGCGCCGAACGTCATCAACATATAGATAGTCTATACGTAAAGCAAATTTGTGTTGGGCGCTATGTTGTCACTGGTACTTTTTCTTTTTCAAAAAAAAAACCTTGCCTCACACTAGGATTTTCTCCTGTGTCGTGGGTGCGTTTTCAGAACAACAATTGTGGATTATTGTGTTGTTCCGTGCGGGAATCGAACCCGCGATACGTGGCACAACAGCCAGTTGCCCAGACACTACACCTACCATATACTTTTCTTTTTTTGAACACAGCTAATTATGTAATCGTAAAATGTTTTCAGTTTTTCACGATGGTGGCGATGTGGTCGATACCTGTGCTAATGAGCGTTAAGAACCAGTGGTGGAGGTTCATCACGATATGGAGCATATTCACCATGCTCACAGCGGTAGTCATAAGGAAATCCACCAACAGACCCATGTCCGTCACCACGCCAAGGTCAGTCAAACCGAGATTGGTAATAAAAAAATTGCCTAGTCTTTTGAGGAATTAGGGATTAGGGAGTGGAAGGATTGGGCCTCCTCTAACCTCAGTCACACGGTGAAATACAACGTTGTAATTGTTTCACGTAGGTTTTCTATGAGGCGTAGTATAACTCCGGTCGACCCATTCACACCGAAGCATGCACTAATGAAAATGTCTTCTTTCACGTGTCGGAAAAATGGGCCGGCTGGTCAGAAAGGATCCATGGGCACACAGAAAACCTACGTAAAAAACGCTTGTGTTCTGTATCGTTGTCCCTTGATGTCATCTGGGTTTACCTTAGCTTTTCCCATGCCCAACTCTTCAATTCATAATGACCTAATCCCCAGTGCAGGCCAGCATCACATTTTTACCCCTTTTGTGGTCACCGATTGCATGCAATGAAAGAATGAATTTATTTTTGCAAATAGGCAAATAAACCGGCACTTTTATACGTCAATTTATGTCAAAAACTAGATGAAGCAGGCATTTCCTATCTGATTACTCTGAGAAGCAATGCCGAAACAAACTCAGAGGTCAGTCTCATATCATCCCGACGCGTGACCCAACTACGCGTTTGCAGCGACACTATACCATTCACATCATCAGCCTAATAGTGCCCTAGTTAGAAGGATTGAGCATTAATCACCACGGATCACCGATTCCAAACTTATACCTAATTAGAAATTATAAGTCCAGAATTTCTCACAAATACTCACAATATTTTCCTTCACGATATGTAGGTATAACAATAGTATCTTAATGAACTTAGTGAACATTATGACTCGGAAAAAAAGTCAAGTGGTACTTACTTACCAGGTTTCCATATACGCATGCATGAGAAGCGGACGCCTTCACCTTCAAACCATTAACCCGTGATATGCCCCGGAACGCGGATCTACGCGAGACACATTGTGTTTTCTATTGTATACCATATACCGCCAGACGAGGGGTTAAAAAAGCTAATCAATCAATTACATATTTCAGGCTAGTATACAAATGGTTCTACTTAATATACAAAGTGAGCTGCTTCCTGGGCGTGGTTGGGTATATACTGATGATGCTGACGTTCCTCGGAGTCAACCTGCTGTTCGGCCAGAAGCCCCAGCAGTGGATGGATGTGGCCCTCATGTTGTTGTTCTACGGCCTCTACTTCGGAGTACTCGGCCGGGACGTGGCCGAGTATTGCACTGACAAAATGGCGGCTTCTATTGGGGTGAGCGATTCTATTTTTTTGTTCTATTGTTTTGTTGTTTTGAAGGTGTTAATAAGGTTATTATGTTCGTGCAACATTCTTTGAATGTTTTAAACAATGTCCCTCTCATCTCCTTCAATATTTTGACATCAACGGTCAACCTCGCTGTTTTCGTCTCCCATAAAATAAATCTGTAGAAATTTTGGTTGATCATTGTTTGTGGAAAGCAAAGAACCAATCCTATGATAAACTTGCCCTTGTACCGTAAATGTGGGTGAAAATCCAGGCATGATGACAGGAAAAATCACCGAGATTCATTGCTGTCCTTTCTTCTGTCGTTGCTTCTCGGGGTCACCAAGCGTTGGTACTGATACTTTGCCTCCAGAACAGCACATACCTAGGGTCTCTTCCTTCCACTTGAGTGCCTCACAGTGTCTGCATTTATTGGCCATTTTACCTATGAGGACTAATCGATGATTAAAGTAATCAAGTAACAGATCATAATTAAAAGCAGCATCGGCAAATGCCTCCCACGTATTCATCGTCGTCAACGTGTTTCTTCGGAGGTGTCTGCGGCTATCTACGAAGCTTAACGCTCAGCATCTAAGATTTGGCGAGCTTGGGTGTGTTGAGAAGTCTCAGCAGCTCTTTGATCCGCGTGACGCTCGGCATCAATGATTTGGCGAGCTTGGGACTGTTGAGAGGTCTCAGCAGCTCTTTGAGCCGCGTGACGCTCGGCATCAATGGCTTGGCGAGCTTGAGTCTGTCGAGAAGTCTCATTCCAGTGATCTGGCAAGTTTAGCAGCCCGAGCTCTGCTAGAGCTTTTAGCTAAATTGGACTTTCGATTGCGAGGCATCGTAGAACAACAAAAATGAAATGAATCGAACAAAACAGATGTACAGATTAAGATTTATTATATTAAAAAACCTTTGTTCACCCTACCTGCACCTACTTGGATAAGTACTTATTTACAACCAATGCAAAAAAGTAGGATGCTAAATATTAGATTAATTGAATAAAAAAAGGAAATAAAAGCAAATCGTATTTATTTAAAGTAACGGAAACTATCTTACCTACTTGTAACGTTGTAACTATGACCTAAAAGAAATATTAAGTATGTGCAAAATTTATTTACAGGATCTAATTAATAAAAAACACTTAAAAAGTTAGACGAAACAATAAAATAATTTTACTGGTTCGAAAAATATAATTCTCTAAAGCGCAAATTTCTCTTATCGCACCCGACAACGACCTCTGTCCTCACGTATCTGTCCGTTCGGGTACACATAGTTAGATTCGTGCGCTTCCCCACCACACGACAGCGCCGCGCCGCACTTCGGCGCGACGCCGACGGCAGCGACGGCGATGCAGAGTGTTCATTAAAAGGAATTTATACTTCGAAATTAGCTATTTTATAACTTGATACACCCAAAACCCTTCTAAATTACATGTTCCTAGGTTCAATAGTTAAGATTTCGTATACCTACATAAAGGTTGGCTTTGTAGATCCCGTTCCGAATCCGTTCCGGGTCTTATCTTCAATTCATCCCCTATTTCACTACATATCACACTGATAAAATTTTGAAAATGCTAGAACAAACGATTTTTTGTTTCTTATGACGTGATATTTGACGAAATTGAATACTAACTTTCAACCCTTATTTAACCCCCTAGCTGGTCGAAATTTCAAAAATGCTAGAACAAATATTTCATATTTTCTTATCAAGTGCTTAAATATTAAGTTTTATGGTTTTATCTTTAAAAAATAAGAAATCCCATACAAACTTTTAACCCCTATTTCAACCCCTTTATCCCTGTTTTTCGAAAAAAAAAGTAGCCTATGTTCTGTCTCAGGGTCAAAAGATTGTCTGTACCAAATTTCATTAAAATCGGTTGCGAGGTTTAAGCGGGAAAGCGTAACAGACAGACAGACAGACAGACAGAGTTACTTTCGCATTTATAATATTAGTTAGGATTAGGATTTAAGGTTAGGGGATTTGGGGATTGAGGATAGGGGAAAAGATAGGGCCTCCGGTAACCTCACTCAAACGGCGGAACACAACTTAATTGTTGTTTCGCGTCGGCATTCTATGAAGCCGTGGTATCATTCCGGTCCATTCGCCCTGAAGCATGGCTCTTCCACACATGCAGTAGAGCTTTTTTCAGTTAATTGACGTGAATATGTCGTTATCCAATAGTTTTGGTTTCGATAATGGGCTACTCCATAACAGTCTTTTTTGTAATAATATAAACTAGTGCTTGACTGCAATCCCACCTGATGGTAAGCAGTGATGCAATCAGTGTTGGTAATGTGAATGTTTGTTTGTTGCAGTACTACACGCAGGAAGGCATGCCCACGCGGCAGCTGGACAGCAACGTGTGCGCCGTGTGTGGGAACCAGTTGCTGGTCAATGTTAACGAGGAGGGCGTCCTCGGTATGTACTACGTCACATCATCAGCTCTCCGGCCTATAGGTGCCTACTGATGCGCTAATGCCCAGGAGGTTCAAACACCCGCTTCTTAATACATGAGAACTACAGTCATGCATGACTTGGGAAGGGGCTTATCCCCGACCGACCACATTTTTAAAGACTACTAGCTACTCTCACGTGGTTTCACGCGCTGCTCGGCTCCATTTAATCGTAGCGTGATGTTTTATAACCTATAGCACTCAGGAACATTGTGGCTATCTACTAGTGAAAGAATTTTGGCAATCCGACCAGCGGTTCCAAAGATTATCCCCTACATACAACTTACAAATTTTACCTCTTTATAATATTAGTATAGACTAGCAGCTCGCCCCTGCTTCGCACGGGTTTCATCATCTGGCTTACGATGAAAGGGTCCCGATTACCCAACTCTACCCTCTACTTTTCTAAAAATTTCTTTCATAAGAACCTTCTCCTGACAATAGCACACATAACAAAAAATTAATCAGTAGAATTGGTCCAGGCTTTATTGAGTTATGCGCTTACCAACATATTTTGCGATTCATTTTTATATATATAGATTCCTTTTCATTTTGTGTGTGGCAAGCACACTTTAATGGATATGTATAGTACATATTCATTAAAGTGTGCTATGTTTTTTCAAGTGACATACAAATAATTAAACAAAAAAAAAAATTGTCGATGTGAACCGCCCAAAAAAAGCTTCCAATTACTCCTAAATTCGCCAGCTGAAACTAAGCAATAAAGTCGATCTTAGAGAAGGTCGCCATGTTTACATTACGTATATATCTTGATCTTGTACTTGTTACAGAAAACACATACAAGCTGACCTGTGGCCACGTGTTCCACGAGTTCTGCATCCGAGGGTGGTGCATTGTCGGCAAGAAGCAGACCTGCCCCTACTGCAAGGAGAAAGTTGACCTCAAAAGGATGTTCACCAACCCGTATCCTTTTAAAAACTCCTTCTTACTATCTCAGAAGATAACCACTATAACTTGACCTTGAGGCGGCCCAATCATCAAAAGGCCTTTTTCGCCCTGGACCAAACGAGGGCAACAGGGAGAGTCCGACTTTATTGAAAAAAGACACCCTGATCCTTCCCACAAGTCAAGGTCACGCAACTACCAGTTGCTCGTTCTTCTTCTTAGGAATCAACAATTTGGAACGACCAAATATGTAGCTTTACTAGTAAACTGACCTATCGGTAAACTGACAGTTTTATCTATCTAAAAGGGAAGCCTGTAAGATTGTCGTTATTGGTACCTTGATTCCGCTTTCCAACTCTTTGAGATAATGAAATGTATTATCATGTATTTCAAAATAAAATAATTAGGTGTTGCTATGTGTCTCAATTAAAAGAAGTGTTGCGCAAAAGAAAAGCTACAACAACAGGTAAAGGTAGGAAGGCACATAGCTAGGCATTCAGTATTTAAATTATGGTCGCGAAAATTGGTTTCCTTATCTACCCTCAGCCGAATCGGTTTTGTTGTTCTTGAGTAGTATAATACCAATGTTTATAATAAACTAGCTATTCTCACGCGGTCTCACCCGCTGCTCAGCTCCTACAAACCATAGCGTGATGTTATATAAACTATAGCCTTCCTCGATAAATGGACTAAAAAACACAAAAAGAATTGTTCAATTCGAACCAGTAGTTCCGGAGATTAGCGCGTTCAAACAAACAAACTCTACAGCTTTATAATATTAGTATAGATTGTGTTCACAATACCTTCCTTAAGACGACATCAGATGGGACCGACCTCACATTCTATACGGTCAGTTGTTGGACTGGATCCGCTGGCTCGTGGCCTGGCAACCACTCATACTGTTCCTAGCACAAGGCATCAACTGGCTGTTTGGACTCGAATGAGGCCAACATTATCCACACAGGATCATTGCGCGGACTATGTGAAGGACAAAGTGTGATGTGAAGTGAAATTGTGAACATTGTGTTCCTTAATAGTAACTGTTAATAATAAGGAGTGTTAACGACCCCAGTATTGTATTTAAATAGCGAAGATATACAAGGTACATCACGGTAAGATATGTACAGAAATCATATTGTTGTCAAATCATACATTTTATTCAATCTTTTGGTTTAAATATTATTATTTAAGTACATACTTTGATTTTCTACGGCTTCCATCTGTTTTATTCTAGGACAATACAGGTTAGTTTTGCTTGATTTTTTTTAATGTTCTGCAAGCGACCAAACGGATTACCTGATGGTAAGCAATCAGCGCCGCCCATGGACACCCGCAACAACAGAGGAGTTACGAGTGCGTTGCCGACCTTTTGGGGATTGGGGATTTGTGATTTGGAGAGGAAAAAGTCTCCGGTTGATGATATAGAAAAGTAATTGCCCTTAATTTCTAGTGTATTTAAGTGCAGCAATAATGCATGTTTTATCAGCTTGACAAAAACAAGTGATTTTCGTATAGTAAAAGTTTATAGTTTAATATATTGTGTGTATGTAAAAAATACACAAAATACTAAGACTTCGCCGCGCCGCGCACGTTGCTCGTCAATGACCTGAAACTAGCCTCGGCCTGACATGAAACTAGTAGAGCTTTCCTCCATAATACGGTAGTTTCCAACTAGTCAAATTCAATACTTTTATCCAAATGTCAAAAACGATACTTTTCTTAGAAATTTGTATGAAATACTGAGTATAACGTCATAGTATTTTTACGTCAAATAGCTTACTTATTTTTTTAAAAATCGCTAAAATTTAGTGTATTGATCGATCGATGAATGAAAGCATAGTTACTTTTCAATATTTTATTGTATTCAAACGTCGTCGTGTGGCATTTTGAACGAGGGACATGTTCAAGGACCCCAATCTAGTTCTCAAATAAAATAACATTTCCATAAGACTAATATGGAAATCTCAAAAAACGTTTTATTTCTCCATGCAAAATGATCAATCAGCTGTTGCAATTTTTATGGAAAAAATCGTAGCGTGATGTTTTATAGCCTAAAGCCTTCCTCTTTAAATGTACTAATAATCACAAATAGAATAATTCAATTCGAACCAGTAATTCTGGAGATTAGTGCGTTCAAACAAACACAGCTCTCCAGCTTCATAATCCAAACTAATATTATAAATGCGAAAGTAACTCTGTCAGTCTGTCTTTTCTTCACGCCTCAACTACTGAACCTATTTGTGTGAAATTTGGTACAGACCGTTTGAAACTCGAGAAAGGACATAGGATAGTTTTTAAAGCAGAAAATCTGCAGAAAGTCACTATTCCACGCGAACAAAGTAGCGGGCAAAAGTTAGTATTAGTATAGATTGTGGTGCGATGATATCGATATTGGTCCAACGGAAAAAGTTGTTGTAATTGAGCACCAAAATGGACTCTTCGAATGTGTCCCTCGTTCAAAGAGCCACCCTGTATAATTATTTTACATGAGTAAGACAATTTTACTATAATAATTTTATCCTTCTAAGGGCTGATTTTTCAATGGTTAGATAAAAGTTACCTGGGGAATAATTATGATGCCGTTGCATCAGAATGTTGGTATAAGACTGACATCAACAATTGGGTTGTTTCCTAGGTCAAAAATAAATTAATTCGACGTTTCAATACAAGAAAATAACTATACTTATTTTTATTTATCGATCGATTGATACACTAAGTTTTAGATATATTTTTTAGCTAATTATTAATAAATAAGTAAGCTATTTGACGCAAAAATACTATGACGTCATAACTCACTTTTTCATAAAAATTTCATTGAAAATTATCGTTTTTGACATTTGGAAAAAAGTATTGAATTTGACTAGTTGGAAACTACCGTATTTTGTTCCTCAGATAGAATTTATCTGACTATTGAAAAATCAGCCCTATTTGATTAATTGTGGGAGTAGGAACCCAAGGATTACCCTGAGTTTTCCTAGTACTTATTTTTCTTTGTAAAACATTATGATACTACCCGGAGCTAGATAATTAAATGTGAAGAAACTGTTTGTACATAAACAGTTTAAGTAGTTAAACAGTTGTAGTTAAACAGTTATCTATGTTTCAACTGAAAATGGGATATTTATTATGTCTATTTTTTTATATTCCATATCTGTTGTAATGGTAATAGTGAATGGAGTTCAACCATAACGAAATAAGTATCCAAATTTTTTATAAACTCAGTACATAATATATTTGGTAATAATTATGTGAATATTCCACTGTTCACGTGTCTCTTTTGTTAAGTGATTCTGTATCCTGCATTAAACTGACGGAGGGATGTGAAAACTATTTATTTGCCGTATTTTCTTCTTAAATAACATCTTTTGATTCATTTCGAGATCGACATTCATTGCCCTGGGACGCGATTTCAGTGTCTCGGTGGTTTCATGGTTGTATCAACTGTAAATCCTAGAGCTTATAGGAGTTGCAGCCGTTTTGTCCTAAAAAACAACGCTAACTCTTAAACTTACAAGACTCATAGTACATTGAAATAACAACCTTTCTGTTATGAAACAAAGTCACTTTTACACTGGAAGCTATGGTCGTTTTCATATTTCTGGTATTATAAGCTTTAAACTAAAGCAATAAAGTATTTTATTGCAGATCACGAGTCTTTTCAAATGACGTTGTATGTTTTAGCAGTATTTTTTTATTTGTTTTTCGAGCTAACTTTGATGGATTTATTTTAAATGCAATAGATAGCAATTAAGTAAAAAATGAGGTAATAAATAATTGAAGAATTTTTGGGGTCTCCTATCGTGCTGTTTTATCGCGAGTTTCATTGATTTTCAACCGTATACTTTTGGTATAAAGTTGAAAATATAAATGAAATTTGTGCTAAGCTACCGATTGTCGAGTATTTACGTTTTTGTGATCAGCTGAATGGCGGCTAATGCAGTGAGATGTCTTGTTTGTCTAATTGAGTATTTCTTGGATCATTGGACGGTAATTTTTTGATAGGTTAAGAGATTGAACAAACAGAATCTAGTGCTCCATTAGCTCGCCAATTTAGTGAGCACAGAATGCTAGCTCTCAGCCGGTCAGCCAGGCCTGCTGTGCAGGTATCCTATATATATTATTATACCTATAAAGTTTGCTATGTCATTCCATGTTGTAATTACTACCTATTAGTACCTAGTTGTATGTATGTATGTGAACGATTAAAAATATTTTTGTAAAAAAAGGTTAAACGAACAATTAAGTGATGTATTTATTAAAATAATCTTATGTTATTTTGTACAAAAATTAAATTGTTTGGATTGTAAATTGGTTTTAATTTAAATAGCATAAGTTGATTAATGTTTAGGCTTGCCCTTTTTCGAGTTAATCGCAATGGTAGGGGCCACAAAACGAAGAAGTTTTCTGTCATCACGTGACCTAAATATTTAAATTTTGTAACACGACTTAGAGGCACTCCATTGAGCAGAAGAGGTGTGAAAGAGGATTTTTCGACGTTAAAGATGTTACTTTTGCATTCAAATATCATGTAGGTACTCACTTTAACTCACAATGTGCTCCAGGCCGCGTTCAAATGCACAGGTAGGTGTCACATAATTTTAACAACTTTCTGAGTCCATGAATTGATTGTCCCAGCAGCACCATATCGTCGGCATATCTAATACCACCTCCTCTCGCGCGGTTTCACCCACTGCTCGGCAGGAGTTACAGTCGTAGCGTGATGTTTTGTAGCCTATAGCACTCAGGAACATATCTATCAGTGAAAGAATTTTGGCAAACCGATTCACATTTTAAATGTGTTAGAGCCATGCTTCGGCACGAATGGGTCGGCTCGACCGGAGTGATACCACGGCCTCACTGGAAACCGGTGTGAAACAATCACAGCGTTGTGTTTCGCCGTGTGAGTGAGGTTACCGGAGGCCCAATCACCCTCCTCCCCCATCCCTTCCCAATCCGTAAATAACTGAAATCCTTATCCCTAAAAGGCCGGCAACGCACTCGTAATTCCTTTGGTGTTTCGGGTGTCCATGGGCGGCGCTGATTGCTTACCATCAGGTAAGCCGTTTGCTTAAAAAAACTGCTGCGAAAAACCGACCAGCGGTTCTTAAGATTACCCCCTACACAGAAACTTCAAATTTTACCTCTTTATAATATTGGTATAGATAATCGAGGAGAAGTCAAGCACCCTGCCTAAAAAATATTCATCAGAATAGACATTACCTCACTTTACAACATTTAGTTGGCTATTGTACCAGAAAATAAAAATATCAACACGGGCAGAGTTTCATACAAACTTGCAACCCCCTTAGGGGTCTCATTTTGTAAATCTTTTCTTAGCGGATGTCATCTCACCTACCTCATGTATAAATTTCAGCCCGATCCGTTCAGTGGTTTGGTCTGTGCGTTGATAGATCATTATGTCAGTCAGTCAGTCGCCTTTTTTTTGTCAGGTTAAAATCATCAAATGACTTGTGTCAGTGAGTGTCAGACTCTTTAAACCGTTCCTTGACCTGCTCTGGGCTAAGTCCGCGGTGACTCATTGCGCTTACAACCCCGGCTGAACATCAGCCCCATAAGGCCCCCTCTGTGTTGGTCTATTGGCTCTTTGAGGCGCGCGCGAAACGCTACGCGCCGAACGCTCGGGTCTGGATCTGGTTGGGCGGCGAGCTATCCCTACTCGCCGTCCGCAGACCCGCGCCTACGGTGACCGGAGATCATCTCTACATCCCTGACAATTACCTTGGGATTACATGTGAGTTTCAAATATATATATGATATGGCAGTTACATGTTAGATAAAAAGAACAACCGCAACGGGGTCGTTGGAGATTTGGGGATTGGGTTAAGAAGTTTGATTCTGTGGTAGGCTTACTCACACGGCGAAGAACAAAGAAAGTTTCAAGCCGGTATTCAGCAAGGCCGTGGTATCCGTGCCGGTACTTAGCATTGCTATAAATAATCCTCATTACTTAAATGGTCGCTACTTCTACTGCCATACAAGGTGTATCTGGTTCAAATAAAAATTCTTTGAGAACTTGAAAATCCAAAAAGTTTGTAGACGACATACAACCTGCAACGAAATTTTTTATCGAATGCCATAAAAAAAACTAAAATTACATCTCATTCAATTTTTTCTACATTCTGTCAGAAGAGCAATTTTCACAAACCTAAATACCATGCCGTTATTAACAAAAACAATGTAATTTTTTTAACAATATATAAGTATTTAAATTCAGGAGTTATAATTTTTCTAATATTCAGGAAATTGTTGTGTTGAAAGTCAATATGATAGGCCCGTTACGATATTGTTCTCATATAAAACACATAAACTACGTCCCAATAGTTTACCAGAATCCAAGTATAGGAAACGTACTCCATGGTCTAGGTAAGTCTACTCTTTGTGTAATATTATGCTTTTAGGTCTTGTCATAAGGGGGAGGCCTTTGCCCAGCATGTCTTGTCATATGTCCAAGCTTTTGGCGTCGCTCCTGCTCTCTGACCACCACCCGCTAGACACTTCTTGTCCATATACCGTACCGTAAATTTTAATATCAGAAATTCAATAATGACTGCACGGCTTGTGCAGTGGCTGGGCAACTGGCCACTGTGCAACGTGTCGCGGGTTCGATTCCCGCACGGAACAACACTTTGTGTGATCCACAAATTGTTGTTTCGGGTCTGGGTATGTATCTCCTAGTGGTTGTAATAGCTCATTTAAAAAATGATGTGGTTTTGTCTTCATAATATCTTTTTAGTCCCTACTCAATATCCATATAATTATGTACATAGCACCTACATATTCGAAACCCGTTGAAACTGGTGAGTATCTCTTTAACATCAATTTGGTTTTGGTTTGTCAACAAACTGGATTGTTGAATCTTTCTTTCTTTGCCTTATAATGATTTTTGAAAAATAAAAAGTCATGCTTCTCCCGCCCTGTCAATAGGCTTATTTTCTAAATTTGATTTAAAAATTGTCTACTTTGCTTTTACAGTAAATCGTTTAAACTACTCACAAGATAAGAAGGGATGTTGTAAAGATGTTGCACAGACCACTGGAAAAAAAGTAGAGCCGTGGCCCAAGACGGAACCATCGTCAACGCCATGGCGGGCTGAGTGCCCGCACGAGCCCCAGCCTCCCAACTATGACCCCTACAGGATAAAAGTGCCCGATGTTGTCGTGCCACCTCTGCCGTCCAGCAATGTTAAGGTAATTAAACTAACGATTTCGTTTTACACACACACGCATGCATTGAACCTCTGCGACATTATTATAACGGGGTTTGTTTAGTGCGTTTGACGAAAACAACGAAAACAGAGCCCCGCGCCGTGTAATTAAGTATCTAATGAAATCCAGCTTGTGCTTTGTTCATCAGCGGACCGGTGTGGTGTACACGACCACTGACCAGCACGGCCAACGTCACGACCCTGCCTCTGCCTACCACCAACAGCATCAAGGACTCCCGGATCAGTCAGGATTTCAATCTGGCGTCGACCAGCGGATCATCGAGGATGAAGAGGCTAAAGAACCAGGCTTCTTCGACCGTCTAAAAGGCTTTTTCGGAAGACTGAAAGGCAAAGGAAAGGAAGGAGAAGGCCACACTATGATCGGCGGCCGCGACGTCCATTGGCTACCATTGTAGCTCTCTCAGTATTTGACAGCATACGCTCACTGAAGATCATTCCGAAATAGACATTTTACAATACAATCAGATGGTTTCATTTTTAGATTTATTCAATTTTAACGAGGGCACTGGTTTTCGTCTAACGCACTATAACACCTCCCTGCCGATAGTTCTGAAGTGAATAGTAACATTTTTTGACAGGAAATTCCCAATGAGGATGCGCCGGAGCCCTACAAACATGGATTTAATTTTCAATCGGGTTCTAGCGTTCAAGACTTATTTCACAACTCCCCCATTGTGCACCCAGATTATTGGAAAGATAAGCCCACGAAGAGACTGAACGAGGCAGTGAAGGAGGTGTTGCCCAATCTGGGGTACCATGGGAAGAACAAATACAAGTACGCGTTTCACGAGCCTTGGAAGCCGCTGGACCGCGTATCCTTGCTTGAGGAGGCAGAGAAACAGGAACTGGAGAACGCAGAGGACACGACCATCAAAACAGACAAACAGGGGCTCTGATTTCTGTTCCCATATAAATTAAAAACTTTTGCTTTATTTATTAGTGAAATGTCGCATAGATTCGCAAAATAAATTGACGTTATTTGTACATACGATCTTTGGCACTTTTACTAGATTTTGTACGTTAAAACGTAGGAGAAGTCATTGGATGATTCTCCCCCCCACCCCCCAAAAAAAGCGAAAGATGTACACTTGATATTATGCCATGAATCTGTTTTTGTGGTTCATTGTTTTCTAGTTATGAGTAAATATCACGTTAAGGGTTAAGAGAAAAAAAGTTATGAAAATAATATGGTGACTTGCGGGACTGGGCACTGCTAGTAAGGTGAGTTTTCGGGGCACATGTTTTCGAAGCATGGTAAACTTGTTAGTTTGTTTCCACATTTTATTTAGTTTTGACGGTATTTGCAGCCTATGCTTGACTGTGCGAGACAGAGGGGCCCCTGTTCGTTGAAACCACCGCCGCCTCCCGAGGCACCGCCGCCACCCCCCCCTGCGCCATTTCCTTGGATTTATTTGTGGGCTCTGTTGGCATTTTTTGGTACCTTTGGACTGGTTAGTATCACATTTTAACATTTGCATAGTTAAAGTAAAAAAGAACATAGTCAAAAAAAAGATTCAGGTAGCTGTATAGCAGTAAACACTTATAAACTTTAAAAATTGTCGCCTATTTTGTGACAAAAAAATTTCGCTTGCAAATTTAAAATACCGGTCAGAATATATCCCTTGAAAAACATCGGATGACAGATGACGGATAAAGTGAATAAACTACTACCATAAAACGGGGTGAATAGAATTTGAGGGGTGAATCGATACAGAAAACGAGTGAGTAGATGTTTGCGAATTTTCCTAGTTTATTATGTTTTTACCCTTCTTCTGCGTCTATTCACCCCTCAAATTCCATTAACCCCGTTTCATTGTTATTGAAATAGTTATACGGTGATAACGGAGCATATTTTCACGGGTTCAGATCGGATGTATGTAGTGCTGCAGCGCTCTTAAAACCGTAAACCGCAGTACCTGCCCTCAAAGTAAGATAATCAAGGTTATCGGACTTAACAAACAATATTAGGTTTAACGTAGGTAACCAAAAATCTCTGTATGCCTTTGTTATGAACGGGCCCATAGAATCACATGTCACTACAGATGGCGCTACAAAGTTGGATGCATGTTTGCGTTTTATTTCCACACTATGCGAAGATATCACTTTTGTGCGAAAACCTTCTATAAATATTTAGATACATGTACTAGACCGCGTTACAATCCAATAAACAGCGCAAAATCTTAATAAACATAATCATAAGCATATATCTAATAATCTACACCAAAAATATACGGTAAATATTTAGTCGTCTTGTTAGTCATAATGTTATGATGGTTCGGAGGAAGGCCCTTTTAAGGGCGCGGTTAAGAAACCTGGACAAATACCAATGTTACTTTTCGAAGTTCGTACTTTCTAAATTTATTTAGTCACCGCTGATTAACCCGCGAAAGGAAACATCGTGAGAAAACTTGTCTTACAATTTTATAAGTTATTAATCCCCTATCCGCCGCCGCAAGCGTGGTGACTCAAACCTTCCCCGTAGGAGAAGAGGCCTTTGCTCAGCAGTGAGCACGTTTAGGCTGATAATTTGATTTAGTTTTCTGATTCTTATAAATTCTTTTGCTAGTGTAATATATATGTATATTTTGATAGACAAGGGCCAGAGTGGGGCATAATTAGTTGAGATGTCGATAGGTTGAATGTGTTTTGTGGCGCAATGTTTATTTTGTTTGTTTTTGTTCTCGGGCGGTGTAGAATTCGGGAAATTTTCGAAGAAATTTAAACATTTATAGGACATATAAACAGGTAAGTGTAACTTTTATTTTTGGAAATATGGTTTGCAGCTGTTTGCTTATTCGATGTTTCATATTATTCGGATGAGTTTTTTTTTGTAGGGTTAAAATTGTGTGAGTGTATCGTGATGTGGCCCCAGAATATAATACCATAGCTAAGCCAGGATTCTGCGTACGTTATCATTTCCGCAAATTTTTTAGTTTGTAATTTATATTTATAGATATACAATATCAATAAGGAGGCGGAATAGGAGCGGCTATCTGTTTATCGTTGGAGGAGGATATTATTTTCTATTTCACATGGGGAATTACGACATCCTAATTCTACTAGCTGTTTTCGACAATCGTAAGTTTTAGGTATTTGTAAACCATACAAATTGTCATATCCAGTGGTGTACCTATACACTAGTTTTTACTGTTCACTATTTTTTAAAAACTTCTTTTATAAGAACCGATAATAACAAACTCAATAAAAAAGAATTGGCAACATTGGCCCGACCGGGCCCATGAGCTTTGCGCTTACCGACGCATTTTAGGATTCATGTTTTAGTGGTTTTATTTTTAACGGCAGCCATTCTGGCTGTCATCAAGAAGTTTTTATTTTCGCAAAATTACTCTCGCACATAAACTTATTTAATACTTTTGGAGCAGTTAGATGGTTACATAATAAAATTATTCGCTGATAGTTATTTAGATTTAGACCCAACTTGGGAGTTCTTTTTGTGTATAGGTTTTATTAACGCTTTTTCCTTCCTACATTCTCCAATGACTGGTTGATCAGTTTGAAAAATGGTTTCTGCACATTTAAAAAAGTTCGTCCGTACAGTTAGGTCACCTTTTTTGGGTTTTATTTATTTAATAAGGATCGGATCCACGGCGCTTAGAAATATGATATTTGCTGGATATACCACGGGATGGTATGTTCCTTCTCTTCCGATTATTCCAGTATTTTCACTGATGGTTGTGAAGAGATATTGTTGAAGATGGTGCTTAGTATTTGTTAGGGTTCTCTATTAAAGGTCTCGTATACTAGTAGCTTTAAAATCGTCTTATCTTTTTAATATTTTTATATTATTAAATTTTTTCGTTTATTACCTTCCACATTGTTTTAATTTTATTTTTGCCTAAATTGTATTTGCTTTTTGTGTTTACCACAGACTTTTAAAGTGGTTTTGTCATTATTTGTATAATGTTTTGTTAGGATTGGATTTTTTTAGGATAGTTTATTCCCACCTAGCTAGCCAGGTTTCTTTTTTAAGTATTTTTATTTGGTTTGAAGTTGTGTAGGATTGACATTGTGGTCTGAATAGCCTAATTTCCCAACAGTCGAATATTTATTATATTTGTCAGATTTGAAATATTAAGTCTAGACATGTTGAACCCGTTTGGAAAATATGTACATGGTGAGGTCTAGAGGGATGTTAGCTTAAAAAAAATGTTTTCAAAAAATATATTTACGTGTGTCCACCCATAATTATTTTGTTTCTTAAGTATTCGTTATAATTAAATGTACTTAACATTTAATTGCTAGGTTGTTAAATTGCACAGTTTCTCTACAAAATTGTATTACACCGGGCGGCCCGGTATTATAATAATCAAAAAATTGGAACATCAAATTCAACTCAAACAAGCAACATTTTATTGAAAATGACAACCCGTGAATTAGAGAGATGCTCTACTAGTTTCAAGTCAGAACAGGACTCTTATTCATGAGCTCCGTGTACGCCACAGTGGCTGCGCGACGTGCATTACATTAATGATGGTTAGATAAGGTTGACTGGCAGAAAATGCTTCTAGCATTAAGTCCTCCGATATGCAATTGTATATAAAGAATAAATAAATAAATAAGTTAATAAGTAATTATGATGCTGTCGCGTCAGAATGTTTGTATAAGACAGTGACAGCAACAATTTTATTTCTAAGATAATTTGTCCGACTATTGAAAATTAGCCCTAAACAAAAGTAAAGTAAGTCTCTCGATAGTTAGGTTAGGTTACTTTTCAAAAATATTTTATAATTACTAGCTTTTGCCCGCGACTCCGTTCGCGTGGAATAGTTACTTCTTGCAGATTTTTGGTATAAAAACTATCGTATGCGCCCTTCATCGGGTTCGAAACTATGTGTGTACCAAATTTTGCCGAAATCGGTTCAGTAGTTTAGGCGTGAAGAAAAGACAGACAGTTACTTTCGAATTTATAATATTAGTTTTGATTGAAAAATCAGCTCTTCATTAATCACTGGCTATTTTAAAACAGTCCAAAACATTAGGATATGCATTTTTTTTTTTTTGTTTTTCGATTTTGGACATATACGTACCGGTTGTCGTATTTTAGTATCGGTGTATTAGAATGTCTGTTTTAGGTTTTGGAGGTTCCCACGAGGGACAAGTGAGACAAACATATTATATTTTCACATTCACATTAAACTAAAATACTACAAAAAAAAAAAAAAAACGTAAAAAACCCGACGCGGCGACTCGCGGTGTCGCGGAATGCTGCTCATGAATATGGGCCTCTAGCATGGCTTGAAACTAGTCGAGTATCTCGTCAAATTATTACTTGAGTAAGTCGAAAACATAATAATTAAATCCTGACAAGTTAAAAAAGTCCTTTTTCGTAGTGGGTCAATAACTGTAGCATGCGCTAGAGGGCGCTGCACTGTATGTCACCTGCGGGGAAGTGTTAGCGTGGTTTCAACAAGCTAGTCAGTAGACATCAAACATCCCTAATATCCGGCTATAGGATATTCGTCACTATTATCTTATTATTTAATCTCATTTTTCTTTCCAGGCGTATAGAATGTACTTGTGGCGAGAAATGCAGGAGGTCGCAAGTGACAAAGTTGTATGTAAGTTGAAATACTGGTCATTATTAATACCTTGATGACGAGGTTTCTAAAATGGTCTTAGAGATTTTTTTTTCGCATTTTTGTGACTAACCTTTCCCCTCCCTCAATCCCTAAATCTCCAAATCCCTAATCCCTAAAAGGTCGGCAACGCACTCGTAACTCCTCTGTTGTTGCGTGTGTCTATGGGCGGAGCTGATTGCTTACCATCAGCTAATCAGTCTACTCGTTTGGCGACGTATCACTTAAAAAAACTAAATATTAGTGTTACACTCAATTATATCTATGAATGTGTCAAAGAAATGAATTGTAAACTGATTGAAAAATAGTTAGCACAGAGTTTCTTGCTCGTTCTTCTACACTTTGGAACGAGCAAAATAGTTTCTGACAGACTGACTTACACGATGTTGAACTTTTTGGTCTATTTGAAACAGTTGACTGAAAGTAAAACCTTAACCATAAAAACATCAGCAATTATAAAGAAAGTGGTGTTTGCCCCCTAACCGACATATATAATTGTTTTATTGTTTATTGCTTTTATTAGATAGGTTAAATAAAATATTGTCTAGTGTTCATCCTGTTCCATATATAAAGCTGAATTTGATATGGACAGGGCGGCCGCGACGGAAGATCAAGCGGCCTTACCACGACAGAGATCTGCCCGCGTGTGTGCAGTACCTTATCGTAGGAACGGGCGCCGCTGGCTGGGCCGCTTACAGAGCCATCATGGAGCACGACAAATACGCCAAGGTATAGGAAAAAACGAATAAAATAAAAACAAAAGCCTTAATTGTAGATTAGTAGTGAAATATTCATGTAACTTGAAACCGACAGTTTCAGACTACTCGACTTTGTTTTTTTGTTCTGTATTTATGGATTTTTTGCTTAAAGTGTAAGAGCCGACTCCTAGCACCTCACCCTTAAAACGCCCAATGACTCGATTTAGTAATTTTTGTATGTTCACCTATAAAAGCAACTGTGAAACAACTACAGCCGTGTGAGGTTGAAGGCTCTGGAGGCCCAATACTCTCCCTCTCCCACATCCCTTCTCTTCCAAATATTTATATTTATTTATATTCTCTTTTATTTACTCTTTGGTTAAGGTGCCCGCTTCTCATGCATGAGGGTGCGGGTTCGAAACCTGAGAAGTACCAGTGACGTTTTCCGAGTTATATGTACTTTCTATGATTATTTAGACACCACTGACATACGGTGAAGGTAAACATCGTGAGGAAACCTGGATTTAAAATTTCTAATTATAAGTTTGAAATCGCCAACCCGCATTGAGCAAGCGTGGTGGTTAATGCTCAAACTTTCTCCGTGTGAGAAGAGGCCTTTGCTCAGCAGTGGGCACTTAGGCGATGATGATGATTTACTCTTTTGGTGTTGTGGGTGTCCATGTGCGGCGCCGATTTTCCAACTGGTAATCCATCTGCTTGATTGTCGACCTATCCCATAAAAAAATGATGTGGTGCTTGCGTCCATCACCCGTGAGTGCCTTTTCCTGGACTACGCTCCACTACAAAATCTATATCCACCCTTGGCGAAATATCGCAGTTTAATTAGTTGATATCAGAGAACGCTGAAGCTTGGTATCCATTTAGTATGTACTCAGTAACCATATATCTCGTTGGTCTCTCAATATATTTGTTTTAGGTGTTCTTTATAACGAAAGAGGATTCGGTACCATACCAGAGGCCGCCTCTCAGTAAAGAGATGTGGCTGAACCCGGAACCACCGGACCCTAAGGTCATGGCTTACGTGCAGGATGACAGGAAGAAGACGTTGAGTTTCTTCGTATTTTATTTACTAATTATGATGATCATCCATCATCACGATTTCATGTCGTCACGTCGAACCTTAGTTTAATGAAAATGGGCAGACTACCTGGTAAAACAGGCAGAGAGAAATAGTCTCGGAATTTTATCTGTGAACGGACAACTTCGTCGGACAACTCAACAGCACTAGCTATACTGGTTGCAAACTGACACTTGCGTGCCTGTCTTCAGAACAGGTCCACTTAAACTGGTGTGGTTCTTTCCTCAAAAGACCACTACAGAATGAACTTGCACGGTTCTCTCACATTATGTTATTTTATATTGTCTGGACTTGAAAAGAGACTGACCTCTGAGTTTGTTTCGGCATTTCTTCTCAGAGTAGTCAGATAGGAAATGCCGGCTTCATCTAGTTTTTCACATATAATTTGACGTGTAAAAGTGCCGTTTTATGGCCTATTTGCAAAAATAAATTCATTGTTTCATAGAACCTCTAAAAGGGGAGAGTTTTGGTAAAATCCTAGTGTGGGGAAACGACAAAAATCTAACCATTGAAAAATCAGCCCTTAATAAAATGATTTGCTTTATTTTGGAGTACCATCTACTGTGACGATTTGTTCTGGTGTCACTTCTGCCTCAGGCTCTTTTAGTAACTCCTACTTAAGAGCGTATACGCTGCGAGGGTTTTCATTAAAACCTTGTAATTTTTTAAATAGTCTCTGCCTAAGTTTTAACTTCATGATGTATTAAGACTACCAAGTATCATTAAAATCGGATCAGTTGTCTATAATTTTGACCTTGAGATTTTATATAGAAACCATCGCCGCGTATAAGCTCTTAAGCCATATAAATTTGAGGTAGACAATTGTTTTGTTCAGGATGTTGAACGCAAACTGTGAAGACTTTTTGGACTCGGTCACATTTTACCGTAAGAAAAGAGGTCCCGCGGTGTCCATTGCGACCGGGTGGTGCGTTTCGCGGGTCGATGCGGACGACCACGTGGCCTACGTCAGAACATTGAACGGCGAACAACCCATTTACTACGAGCGCTGTCTTCTCGCACCAGGTAACAAACGAACGATTTTACCCTTTGATGACCGTCTGTCCGTCTGTACCCCGCCAACCAAGCGCGAAATCTATAGTAACGGCTATTATGTAGAGGAGGAATATTGAACGGCTGTTTCATTACCTTCAAATACCTAATTCAAAAACATTGGCTCATATTTTATACTTATTACGTTTTATATTGAAATTTGCCTGGTACACCCGCAACGGAGGAGTTACGAGTGCGTTGCCGACCTTTTAGAAGTTAGGGATTTGGAGATTTAAGGATTGAGTGGTGATTGGGGGAGGGGAAGGATTGTGACTCCGGTAACCTCACTCACACGGCGAAACACAACGCTTTGGTTGTTTCACGCCGGTTTTCCGTAAGGCCGTGGTATCACTCCGGTCGAGCCGATCCATTCGCGCCGAAGCATGGCTCTCCAACACTTAAATCGTTAGTTAAATTCGCATCTTCTCCTTTTGCGAAACAATTATGATAGCTAAGGAGGAGATTGTAAGAGCCACTCCCTTCCACTCCATCCAGGTGTAAGTCATTTGACGACTTGCCGCCCTCCCCCCCTAAAAATACCACTGGGGTCATTATTATGGCCAGTCATTTATGAAAAATTGTCGAGACAGATGGGTTTAAAAGGTAGTTGCCAATTTTCAGTTCTTATATCGATATTTAAAACCTGCTAAGGTTCCAAAAGCTGTGTGGGGTAAATTTTAAAAAGCGAACACTCACACTTTGGGTGATGAAGCGACACACAAATAACATTGTTAATCAGTTTTGTGTCGTGCATACAGGTGTAAAGGCTAAAAACCTAGACATAATCAAATCTGCGCCGAAGCAAGTAAGAGAAAGAGTATGCACAATGAGAACTATCAGAGACTTCGAGATAGCGTACAGGCAAGTATATTCACTTTGTTTTTTAATAAGACGTTGCCCTACCCGCTCAGGTTTCCTCCGGTATATGGTGCGTTTACAAAGACATACAATTTTACGTACACATGTTCCCAAACCCGAAACAACAATTAGATGTAGTGGGGATTAAAAACTGCGAAACGTAAAATTTCAATCGGGTATCCGTGTTCAAAGATAACCTAGAATATTACTGATTTGGGATCCGATAGCGAAACACAACGCAACCTTTGTTACACGCCGACTTAACCGTTTTTTTTTTTTTTTTTTTTTTTTTTTTTTGTGAGGGGAAAATCATCAAATGACTTCTCCCGCCCAGGGCCGGGCAGGAGGGAGTGTCAGACTCTTACTGACTAAAAACCCCCCTGTTCCTTCTCCTGCTCTGTGCCGAGGTCGCGGTACCTTATTGCGCTTACCCCGCAACCCCGAACTTAACCGTGAGGTATCAATATGGCCCATTCGTGCCGAAATGGCTCTCCCAAGTATAATACTAATGAATGAAAGTTACATAAATTAGTATTGACTTTCTGAATGGATGCGTTAATGCTGAGCCATGGGTTTGGGTGTCATAAGTGCCGTATGTGAAATGGTATCGTTATAAACGCATTGTTTTGAATTAAATTAATTTTATTCATTTACAGAAAAGTGAAAGAAGCGCAACATGTGACAGTTATTGGCGCCGGTCCTCTGGGCTGTGAGCTGGCGTGGCATCTTGGCAGGATGAGTAAGTCCACTATATGTATACAATTCTGAGTATAATCTGTGACGTAATTTTAAAAGTGTAATAAAGGCAGTGTAAACTTTACTGTAAAGCACTTTATAAAATAAAAGTTTACTTAGAAGATAGTCAGGCTTGGGAATGAGCCGCTGTGACTTCTGCACAGGTCATGTTGACATGTTTGTAACATAAGTTGCGCGTTTTAAATACAATTTGACATTACGTTTATTATTATTTTTTAACAATGACATTATCACCTATTGTGACATTTATATTTTTATTTAATTATTTATTGACATTTTTATTATTTTCTATTATTGTTAGTGTAAGGACCGTGTGAGACTTGCCGCGCTTTATGACTACCAGTTATCTGCGTTCTGACAGTTTGAGTACTTGCGCGACCCACCCAAATGTTCTTTTGATCGGTATTGTTCGTCGGAAAACTCAGCAGCCCTAGCTATACTGGTTGCAAACTGACACTTGCGTGCCTGTCTTCAGAACGGGTCCACTTAAACTGGTGTGGTTCTTTCCTCAAAAGACCACTACAGAATGAACTTGCACGGTTCTCTCACATTATTTTATTTTTATATTGTCTGGACTTGAAAAAAGACTGACCTCTGAGTTTGTTTCGGCATTTCTTCTCAGAGTAGTCAGATAGGAAATGCCGGCTTCATTTAGTTTTTCACATATAAATTGACGTGTAAAAGTGCGGTTTTATGGCCTATTTGAAAAAGAAATTCATTGTTTCATTGACGTGAACCATTACCACGTGTTTTAAAAGCCCGGACAGCAACGATCACTGAAAAATATTAACTGCAATATTTAATCCGCCGAACGTTAGGCCTAGGCAAACTCTTCTTTTGTAGGGGAAGCCCATACTGCTGGAGTGGACTATCATTGGTGATTACATTTGCATTTCAGATAAGACATTTCCTCGGGAAGACGCGCCTCCACTAGAGCTGGTACACGTGTACAAGGATAAGGGCATTCTGTCAGGCATCCTACCGGAATATCTCGGCGTGTGGGCTGCAGAGCACATCAAATGCGAGGGCGTCAAACTTGTACCCAATGGTACGTGTACTTAAGGGCTGGTTTGAAACACACATTCAGAAAAAACAACTAGTAAAGCTTTTAATCATAACATGGCCGGAGTAAACTACGGTCCCATTCAAAAACGGAGTGAAACAAGCGCACCGTTTTTTCGCCATGTTAGTGAGGTGAAGCACAATCCTTCCCCTCCCCCAATCCCTTTCCAATCCTTAATTATCCGAAACCCCTATAACGGCAAAGTACTCGTAACTCCTCCATTGTTGCGGGTGTCCATGCTGTTTGCTTGCCATCAGGTAAAGCGTTTGCCTGCTAGTTTGTTTTCTTATCACATAACAGAAATTAATTAATGTTGTTACCATATATTTCAGCTCAAGTGTACGATGTATTCGAGTCACAGGACGGAAGACTTGAACTAACACTATCAAACGGAACGTCCATTGTTACTGACTATGTAAGTGTGTGTTGTGTGCTTGACGATAGCTATTTGTAGAATAAAGTGAGAATTTTGTGACTACGATTTAAATTCAGAATTTCGACTGTAAGTCGAGAATATTTTAATGAATTGACAGTTTTTTTGACGTTGTCATGCAGGCCGTATGTGTTGCGTTACCTGGTATTTATAATCACTACATAAAGGTGATTTCTCTGTCCCTATATGCATAACATCACATCATAACATCAGACTATCACCTATATCAGCAAACTGCTAAGGCAAAGGCCTCTTTTCACAAGGAGAAAGATTGAGCATCAGTCAGCACGCTTGCTCAAGGCGGATTGGCGATTTCAATTTTATAATTAAAAATTATAAGTCGACGTTTCCTCACGATGTTTTCTTTCACCGTATTTCAGTGGTGTTAAAATAATCATAGATAGTACATATAAAATAGAAAAGGTCAGATAGATATTTGCCAGGCTTCGAACCCACACTCGCATGAAAAGCGGGCGATTCCGGGCCACCACGTCACTAATGAAAACAAACCTATTTATACCTAAATATCGAAAACTACGCAACGGATTTAAATTCTTTTTATTTAATAGATAGTGATTGAAGTTTAGGTAAATGTGTAACTAACTATTAAGTAGTGGAGAAAACTTGTCGGGGCGGGCCTTAATATAATATAATACGAGTAATATGTATAGATCGGCGCTTAAGCGTTTGCTTTTGTGTTTTCGCAGGCGTTCATAGCGATCGGCGCGGAGCCTCGCGTAGATATGGCGGAACCTTCGTTCCTAGAGCTGGACGACGTGAATGGCGGCTTCCTCGTCAACACAGAGCTCGAGGCGCGCACGCATCTCTACATCGTGAGTACAACATTTTTTCGCTCAACCATCAGATCTTTTTTATTGGAATAAGTGCGATAAGAGCAGACTAATTACCTGATGGTAAGCAATCGGCGCCGCCTACAACACACCCGCAACACCAAAGGAGTTACGAGTGCATTGCCGGCCTTTTGGGGATAAGGGTTGCGGAAATAAACATTGGGAAAGGATAGGGAAGGGGGGGAGGGATTGGACTTCCAGTAACTTACTCACACGGCAAAACAACGCTGTGGTTGTTTCACGCCGGTATTCTGTGTGGCCGTGGTATCACTCCGATCGAGCCGACCCATTTGTGCCGAAGCTTGGCTCTCCCACACTTTTCTGATGTTAAGCAGTACTCCTTTGACTCGATGAATCATATAAAATTTATAAATACCTATACGTATGAACTATCTGTTACATAGATCTTTATAGGGTACTTACCGGTACTTATATCTATGCTGTTGGTGAAACTGTTTACTAGTGATATCACCCAAGTGACTTTTGATGCGTGCGTTCGTGCAGCGGAATGTTGTTGAATTTAAAGATTTTAATTATGCAGATATTTAGTGTATGACGTCGTATAATTGTGTATGGTAAAAAAAAATTGTGCACGCAACCATTGTGGAGAAATTCACCAAAAACTGATTCCGCTGGGCGAACGTTGTCCTGGCGGAACTTTTTATAATCCATAGACTTTAGAAATAAAGAGATGTATCCAAAAATTAGTGTGTATTTGTGTGTAATTGTGTATGTATGAATAAAACTAGTGCATGCATAAACTTCGGAGAAATTCAAGTTTCCGCTACGCGAACGTTTGGCCATTAGCTAGTTTTCATATAAAGCGCTTACATAGGGAGCTGTAGATTTTTACATACGTTGTTTTGAATTTGTGTATATTTGTTTAAAAAACAGATTTAGAAAAAATCGTAGGGTTTAAAAGATAAAAATATAAACGTAAAATACGCTTATTAGGTCTTAGCTCTTAAAGTATGCACTTTAGGGTCTAGATTTTCACGTTTATACAAACCTTGTAAGTGTCTGCAACATGTTGCCAAGTATCAATGATGTTCCGTTAGTAATTAAATAGTTATAGGACAAATTTACCATGAATAGATCACTGTTTACAAAGCAGTCAAATATCACGACGTTCTAAATGAATTGCATGGTAAAATGTATGCCAATAATTAGTGTATTCATTCAACTATTCACATGCAAAATTTCATGTCATTAAATTCAGTAATTAAAGAAAAACAATTATAATACTGACGAAGTATCGAAAACCTACATAACCCGACCAAGTTCGGATGGCTACAAAAAAGCGGCTGTTCAATATATTTAGGTAACATCCCAAAATTTACAGTATAATACCGGTATTGAATTGGTACAGGTGATAACACACTTGTTGTTTCGAAATAATTTATAGGTCATTTATTTTTGGACACCTACTTTTTTAAATGTATTTGACTATGACAGAAAGTAGGTACTATTTACGTAGGTACTTTATTTAAATATGCGCTTGAGACTTGAGATATAATCTAATTGTATTTAAGACAAATAAAATTCATACAGCTAATTTCTATTGAAGATTTCACGGATCAGGATTCTAACTATAGACCCCTTAGGGAAATTAAATATTTACCACATGTAAGTATTTAAGTACTACTGTTTAGGTAAATATTTATCATATTGTAGCTTATTACACTATTTAACCAATATTTTTTATTACACTATTTAACCAATAGAGGTATGCACGAGCGTGTGTACGATACTGTGTTTTATTTTTTCCTAACGCTTGTGTACGATACTGTACCATATTAATAAATGCTATATAGGAAAGTTAAGAACGTTTCTTAGATATATGGCACGGCCGCTTTTTTGTAGCCATCCGAACTTGGTCGGGTTATGTAGGTTTTCGATGCTTCGTCAGTATTATAATTGTTTTTCTTTAATTACTGAATTTAATGACATGAAATTTTGCATGTGAATAGTTGAATGAATACACTAATTACTGGCATACATTTTACCATGCAATTCATTTAGAACGTCGTGATATTTGACTGCTTTGTAAACAGTGATCTATTCATGGTAAATTTGTCCTATAACTATTTAATTACTAACGGAACATCATTGATACTTGGCAACATGTTGCAAACACTTACAAGGTTTGTATAAACGTGAAAATCTAGACCCTAAAGTGCATACTTTAAGAACTAAGACCTAATAAGCGTATTTTACGTTTATATTTTTATCTTTTAAACCCTACGATTTTTTCTAAATCTGTTTTTTAAACAAATATAAACAAATTCAAAACAACGTATGTAAAAATCTACAGCTCTCTATGTAAGCGCTTTATATGAAAACTAGCTAATGGCCAAACGTTCGCGTAGCGGAAACTTGAATTTCTCCGAAGTTTATGCATGCACTAGTTTTATTCATACATACACAATTACACACAAATACACACTAATTTTTGGATACATCTCTTTTCTTCTAAAGTCTATGGATTAAAAAAAGTTCCGCCAGGACAACGTTCGCCCAGCGGAATCAGTTTTTGGTGAATTTCTCCACAATGGTTGCGTGCACAAATTTTTTTTTACCATACACAATTATACGACGTCATACACTAAATATCTGCATAATTAAAATCTTTAAATTCAACAACATTCCGCTGCACGAACGCACGCACTTTTGATGTCCTCATTTCATCCTGGGAATTATTTCACACAAAAGGCCGGTGACATGAGTCGACTAAATTGCTCTTCGCCTGGGCAATAATTCACCTAGAGGTGCACCAGATAAAAATTCTACTCAATGGCACACTCGCTCGACTCATGCATCTGGATGCCTGGGTGAATTCATCAAAAGTTGAACAAAGAATACCAATTTTGTAGGCTTATTTCACCTAAAAGTCAAAATCATTTATTTCAATTAGACCCATACAGGCACTTTTGAACGTCAAATAAAGCTTAAAGATAAAAAGTGTCAGTCTGTCAGTCAGTCCTCTTAGTGAAGGGATTCTGATGGAGAAGGACGAGCAAGAAATTCCATAACTACAATACTCCTAGGTACAGTAACGGTGCTACAAGGAAACCAAACAGGCTCTAAATGATTAGTAAGTTCATCAGATTGGAATAGACTTTCATACTGAATTGTAATCTTTGCTTATGAAAGATGATAGATTGACAGATTATTGATAAAAGGTGAAATTATAGCTTTTTGTAAATGTTAATCATAGAATGAGCTCGTTTCGACTTCATACCCTAGAGATACGATGTGTTGCAGGCGGGTGACGCGGCGAGCTACTACTCGCAGTGGAAGGACACGCGGCTGCGCGTCGAACACTACATCAACGCGGAGGAGCAGGGGCACATTGCCGGCGCCAACATGGCCGGCTACTGGATCCCCTGCAACATGGAGCCCAACTACTGGGTCAAGCTCGGAGAGATGCTGCAGATGGAGGTTTAAGCCCTTTTCGTCCCTTTTTCAATAGTAGAAGAAACCGTAGTAATCTTCCATAAGCTGTTTTCTTTAAATTAAAAATATCGCGTTTGTTTATAAACGAAGTGACTGACTGCACGGTTGGCGTGGTGGCTGCTCCACGGGTCGCGGGTTCGATTTCCGCACGTACAACTCTGTGTGATCCACAGATTATTGTTCCGGGTCTTGGTGTGATGAGCATGTGAATTTGTATGTTTGTTAATGCACCCACAATACAGGAGAAATCCTAGTGTGGAGCACGATGAAGCACTATAATAAATATGCTGGCGTTCACTTACCGCGAGTACTAGTTATGATTTTTAACTTATGTCTAAGTCATAGTTACTTACCTGTAAAACTTAGCAATACGATCGTTGTGCCAGTAATAAAGAACAAGACTGGTGACACCTCCGATATCTCCAACTATAGGCCGATATCGCTCGCCACTGTCTGTGCTAAGGTGTTGGATAGTCTGCTTGATAAACTTTTAGCTAAGTATATTGTTCTCGAGGATGGTCAGTTCGGTTTTAGACCGAACTTGTCAACGGATAGTGCAATTTTGTGTCTTAAGCAGACTGTCCAATATTATACTGACAGAAAGACTCCTGTAATGGCATGTTTCCTGGATTTATCGAAGGCATTTGACCTAGTCAATTACGACCTACTCTGGCATAAGCTAACTCACGACACTGTTGTCCCAGCTGATGTGATATCATTGTTGAGATATTGGTACAGTAGTCAACAGAATACTGTTAAGTGGGCTGGATCGTATTCCGATGTGTATGGATTGGATTGTGGGGTGAGGCAGGGGGGGTTGAGTTCCCCACGTCTCTTTAACCTATACATAAACAAACTGATAGGTATGCTCAGCAGCACCAACATAGGTTGTCACGTAGACGGTGTTTGCGTGAACAACATCAGCTACGCTGATGATATGGTGCTGCTGAGCCCATCTATCAGTGCAATGAGAAATCTACTCAAAATTTGTGAAAGTTATGCAGTGGCTCACGGGCTCAAATACAATACCGTTAATAGTTAGTGAATGGTGAATGAATATTGAAATGAAGAGTGAATGGTTAGTTTTTAAATCAGGTACCTTAACGTACGATCAGCTACCTGAACTGTCACTCTCTGGGTCTCCGTTAGCTCGGGTTTCGAGATTTAAGTACTTGGGCCAATGGGTCACTGACGACTTAAAAGACAATGTAGACATTGACAGGGAGCGCAGGTCGCTGGCTGTCCGTTGCAACATGCTGGCCCGCAGGTTTGCGCGCTGTTCTGATTCGGTGAAGATAACACTTTTTAAGGCCTTCTGTCAGTCATTTTATACGTGCAGCCTGTGGACCAGGTTTACCCAGCGGGCTTACAGCGACCTGCGCGTACAGTACAGTAACGCATTCAGGGTGTTGTTGGGGTTACCGTGGCGATGTAGCGCGTCAGGAATGTTCGCGGACGCGTGTGTTGACGGGTTCGCCGCGATCATGCGAAAGCGTTGCGCCTCCATGATGTCGCGCCTGCGCTCCACCTCCAATGGCATCCTGAATGTGTTCGCAGATCGGTGGGACTCTCCCCTCATACGAAGGTGGATAAGTGTGCAGACACACTTATCTAAATAAACTGGTGTGTTTAAATTGTAAAATGGACACTAACATTAGGCTAAGTTGTTTTATTACTAACAATATATGGATGTAAATCTGAAATTTTTGAATATATAAGCAACCTTCATTATTAGGCTATGAAGATATGTTATACACTTCAGGAAACATAGGCCCTGAATTGTATGAATTGCCACACGAGATGGAGCTTTGTCACCTAATAGGAAACACTAGAGAAGACAAAAGTATTGTCGGGGTTGCAAATGGGGGTAGGATTTGGCCTTTGCTATAAAAATTGTGCGCTTGTTTAAAGGTGGTCGGTGAAGCTGGAGCTTGCTTGCCCATCGTAGGCCTATTCAAAGACTGCAGCGACGAAGCGTCCATACAGGAAGCAGATGAATTGGTTGGTGGCACTGGGAAGAAAAGGAAATGCTTCATTAATAAGTCAGTTTACGAACTAACGTGAAACATTACATGGCGCCCTTGATCATCATCATCATCATCATCATCATCATCATCATTATCCTCACCCTCGTAAACAGCCTGTTAGAGTCTACTGATGTACCTTCTTTCTTCTTTTTCTTTTGTACAAAAAAGGGGTTTTCAAGTCACAGTTGGCAAACGGCTTTGAAATCGATTTTTTATGAAAGTGACACGCCCCCCATGGACAAGTGCAGCACCAGAGGACTCACAGTGGCGTTGCCGGCTACGTACGCTCGTTTCTTGAAGGTTTGAAGGTCGTATCGGTTGGGGCAATACCGCCGCCGGAAGACCATTTCAAAGTTCTGCTGTTGTTGTTGCTGTTGTTTCCAACTAGTCAAATTCAATACTTTTATCTAAACGTCCAAAACGATACTTTCTAAGAAATTAGTATGAAAAACTGAGTTATGCCGTCAACATTTTTGCGTCAAATAGCTTACTTATTTCTTAATAATTAGCTAAAAAAATCTAAAACTTACTGTATCGATCCATCGATGAATAAAAGTGTAGTCATTTTTCAATATTTTATCTTATTGAAACGTTGAAATAATTTATTTTTGACTTAGGAAACTACTCAATTATATTCTACATGTAGCCTCATAAAACGCCAGACTGATTGCGTTGTGGTAAGTAGAAGATACAGTTTGTTACAGTGTGTGGCCACATGTTTCAGGAGCGCGGAGTACTTCAACAGATACAAGCGCGGCATGTTGTTCTACCTGCGAGATGAAGTTGTGGTCGGCTTCACATTCTGGAACATGCCACCCATCGAAGACCGGAAGGCCGTCGCCACAGAAGTACGCCCTCCAAACTCTAACACCCGGTTTCCGAAAGGCCGATCAATGTTAAAATCAATTTAATCTCTTGTCAAGTCATCTGATTGGTTGACTGAATTATCAACAACCAATCAGACGACTTGACAAGAGATTTAATAGGAGATTAGTTAATTTTTGCGTTGACAAGCCTTTCAGAAACCGGGTGTGAATCTCTGAAATTGCATTTTAAAAGAAAGATTATTCTTTATTATTTTGTCACTTGAGCTACAGGACTAATAGAAAGACCTTGTATTTTGTGTCGTTGATCGCAAGGTCTGGACAAAGCAAATGTTGACCTGTTGGCTATCGTCTGGTTTTGTTGTCCATTTCCTAAAGGGTCTTAAATAATTGCAATAAGAAATGGTTTTACTGAAGTTTCAGAGAATTAACTGACATTACATTATTAGATGGCGGCACCGTGAACTGTACTCGTCAGTAGAGTTAAGGTCACATATTTAAACTACCATACCATTATGAATGTACTCATATTTATTCAAATTTAAAAAAGTTATTGCGGAAATAATATATTTTAATAGTTTATATATAATTTTATAACCAGACCGCCATTTTCCATAAATGCCCGTAGGTATAAATTTATAGAATGTCCCGCGACTGTCTCCTGTAAAACATTAATAATTATTTTGTAGCGTGATGTTTTATAGCCTATATAGCACTCGGGAACATTGTAGCTATCTATCAGTGAAAGAATTTTATATGATATTTAAATTTAAATGACTTGAAATTGAAATCCAAATTACCACCGACATACAAACTTAAAAATTTTACCTTTTTATAATATTAGTATAGATTTATTTTAACATAACATCGCCTCTTAGTCCATGACAATCCAAGGTTGTATAAAGACAAGTTATGTACCAGTAATCAATCTTAATAAGAGGTTGTTGATTAAGTCGAATGATCTCCCTACGTCCCTATGATTAAAGAATTGTATGACTATTTCACATTAAAATACGTATCAAGATAATTCGGTACATTATCTAATAAAAAAAAATACGACCCTGTTGCATGCAATTGTTGTGTGAACCATTTACCACGTTCAACAACTAATCTATTCAATATAACAAGGTATTGCTAGTCCCTAGTTTTGATATTAGTTTCCAAATCCACCGTTCTCAAGAGTTATTTTTTAGGGAAATGTAATAACAAAATTTCGGCTTTCAACTTGTTCAGTGTGAACAACCGAATTCCGTAACGAAACTAAGCATTTTTTCTAAGTTTTTATTTGATTTTTTTAGATATTACGCGCGAAGCCGACGTACCACGACATTAACCTGCTGGCGGAGCTGCTCGGATTCCCCGAGACGCACTGCGTCTACAAGAAAGCTGAGGAAATTATAGACACAGGCCCTTGCCTCACGAAGTAAGCTAGCTACAGTTATTTTCCTCGCGATAGTGTATTAGATTTACGTGTTTTAGGAGACGAGTTGCGTCATGTTACAGTATTGCATAATATGGATTTTTGTCTTTAGAAATGTTATTCATCGTCAATGTCAGATTATATCGAGCCGCGTACGAAGAGATTCGTCTGAAAAGCGTCAGGACAGTTCAAGCTAGTTGAAAAACGCATAACAGTAGGCCTACCATGAAGTGTTAAAACGTGAATCTTCAGGGCGAGAAAGAGGGACGGAGCTATACACCTTTTTTTATGTAATAGGTCGGCAAACGAGCAGACGGATTACCTGATGGTAAGCAATCAGCGCCGCCCATAGACACCTGCAACGGAGGAGTTACGAGTGCGTTGCCGACCGTTTAGGGATTAGGGATTGAAGAGGGATTGGGGGAGGGGGAGGATTAGGCCTCCGGTAACCTCACTCACACGGCGAAACACAACACTGTGGTTGTTTCACGCCGGTTTTCTGTGAGGCCGTGGTATCACTCCGGTCGAGCCACGAGACCCATTCGTGCCGAAGCATGGCTCTCACTTAACACCTTTTATAGCTACATCCCTCTTTCTCGCCCGGAAGAGACCGGTCGATCGCTGACTAACCTCAGCTACCTGAGCACCAACTGGTTATAAAAGTTGATAAAACAGTGGCTCGTAAACAGTTGACAACCACTGTTTTGGTCAATGTGTCGTCTTAGTTTCATTGACAAACGATTTTTGTTTCAGCGTGAAGGTATGGTAAAAAATTAATCGAAGAGAAAAAAATCGACGGAATTGTTTGCATCAGTTTTTATTTTTATTATTATACTGTGAATTGTTCCCAATTGTGTTTCATTTATACTTATATCGGTTTTTGAAGTGTGAGTAAACTCATTCACACAGCTTTGTTTCCAACTTACCATTCAGTCTTCAACGTATTTTTTTCGATAGGTCGTCAAAGGAGCTGACGGATAACCTGATGGTAAGCAATCGGCGCCGCCCAAGGACAACCCGCAACACGTTACTAGTGCGTTACCGGCTTTTTGGGAATAAGGGGTTCGGATATTTAACCCTATACCAGGCGTCGAACAAATTCTGCAGTAATGTTTTTTTCGTAGATTTTTTTTTTCGTCGATTTAGATGAGTAATCGCATATAATATGAGATTTCTTCAATTACATTTAGAAATGTAGCTGAAAACCTGAAAAGAACATGTAGGAAAACATACTCCCATTGCCTGTTGAGGCGCCGACTTTTTATCGATATATAAAATAAACAGCGTTAGTCATTTTGATTGCATTTTTTACTGTTGAAATGAAAAATGTAGTGTAAGAATGCACGAGAATGAGTATTCTTTAATAAAAAAAACAACATAAAACAATGGATTGAGTATGAAATAAAAAGTTTTTATTCTTTTTCTGAATTTTGATCATAATACAAACAGAAACAATTAGAAACAAATAAAGCCATAAAAACCAAAATCCAGAAATCCAAGAATTGAGAATTTCTGGATTTTGATGGTACACTTTCATGCAAGGGGTGACGCATAGTGCTACCTTACGAATTTTGCATTCATATTTTGACCGATTTTCTTGTTTCCTTGTGCTACAAAACCTACACCGTTTGTATGTTGACAATGCTAAAAAATGACTTCCTCTTTGCCCTAGTGTTATTTCGTCGGGAACTCCAAATACACCTCCTTTTTTGTTTTTATATACCACCGGATCTTATTTTTTGTTCAAGATATGGCCCGATTTCAAACTTCTAGCTAACCGTAATCGGAAATCACGATGTATGTTTTTACGATTTTGATTATTGTTTTAGATGCTCTTGCCACAAGACTCTCAAGGTATCGTCCGGTATTTTGTCTCGTGCCAAATCTCGCATTCGATGGAGGAGCTGAGAGGGCTTCTGATCGCCCAGCTCCATTCCGCCGATGAGCTTTTCAATTTACCGGGTTTTTGAGTCTTCCAGTAGTGTAAGCAATTTCGTCTTCAAGGCCATGAACTTGCCAGTTTCAGAGGCTTTGATAGGAAATCTGACAACCGCGTAATAATATCCCTGGGTAATTTCGATACCACCAAATCGAATCTTGCTTCATCTCCTAATTTCTGAGGTGCCAAAATAGCTTCCACGCGTATAAACCACACACGAGATTGATCAATCCATAATTCTGGAATGCGTGACGAAATCGAAATTGCTAACACTTCTGACGGTGGAACGGGTGCGGCCGGTGACTCCATCATTTTTGGGAAAAACGGAACTCACTCACAAAAATGTTCTTTGTCGGGGTCACCAATTTTGGGTTGTATCTAATTGAATGTCAGAGATAAATAAAAGTTCAGAACACCACTGGAAAATTATATTGTTCATACCAAGACACACAGAATGATTATATAAAAGTTCGAGTTTAACAAAAGTTCCGGCCCAGCACACCGTTACACGAAGACTGGCTTATATTCTAATTTAAGGAGGGAATAGCAATACGATACGACGCTCTACGCACACAGCCATGCACATGCATTTACATAGGTGTGTACGTGAGTGTCCCTACAGTGACATTGAAATTCGGTTTATAATAATTAAAATACAGAGAATACATTATTCACTTTTAATTATACTCGGAATTTTAATTCCATTCCAGATTTGACAATTTCAGTGTTGCAACGTTATGACCCGTAATAAATAGTGACGTTGCGAAATTATTCGATATGGAAATCGAATATTTCTGAACCGATTCCTCTCGTTTATAAATTTACTCTCGTAAACTAAGTTTATCAGTAAATAAAATATTTCTGTACCGATAATTTAGTTTTGACAATTAATTAACGATCTGAGACTTTTCTTTTGTAATAGTGTGTGAAATTAATAAAAAATGTGATCATGAAGGAACGTGACAAATAAAAGAGACATTTTATAAATTGTCGCCGTCATCGCTATCGCTATCGCCGTTACTCTATGTAACATTTATTATGAATTGTGTCTTTGATATTTATTGTCAATTAACATATCTAGCTTACTCATTTTTTCCTCTTCTTTGAAAACATGGGATACACATTTAGACCATTCGGTAGCCGTAATTTTTTTAATGCCTTCCTGAAACTGATTCACTGATTGTTTATCGATTTTTGTGTTCATCACTACACTGTTATATGTGGTATCATTATTTCACAAAATGACAGTGGTCAATGTCAAATCAGGAATCGAATTAAAAGTCTGACTATAGTTTTTGCGGCTTTACTTTTGTTACTTGAATTTATTATAAAAAAAATACATGGTAAAATAGAAATGGTTTAAAATTTCTTTAAATTAATTTTTAGATTTGGTTTTGTGACAAGTGGTTCCATTGCGATCATTATTTTCTTTTTAATTTAGTGTTTAACAGCATGTTTTTTAAATTTATAATTCTATCTTAAAGTATTTGGAACATTATAAGAGAAAAATATATTATGTAAGCATTTAAACAAAATTATCTATGTAGTCTAAAATTAAAATCAGTCTTAAACTTTTAATGGCACTTGAAACATTAGAAACTTTTATGTATCAGGTATAATTCAAATAATAAAGATATGAATACGGTATGAGTAAATTATAAAGGTAATAACAAATATATTTTTTATTATCTTAGCTACCAACTCTTTTATGAAACATTAAAATATAGTATTATCTAAAAAATAAATTTATCAAAATTGTCAAGATTTGGCATTTTCGAGTATTGTATTTTTTAAGTCTTAAATCAACTAAGTGACATCAGTGTGGTGTCACTTGTTTGATTTAAGGTTGATACCTAAAATAATGAAAAAAAATAATCATTATATAAGTATATTTACTTGACAATACAATTTAGAAATCTTATCTAATAAAAAATAAATGAATAATATTATTACCAACAATTATAGCACTCATCTTCAGTAAAATGGTCATAGACCAAAAAATCACAGAAATCACACCAGTAATAGGAACTTTGCAATAAATTCCAAATATCAGTTTTAATCATCGCCAGAGTAAAATGTTTTTGTCTTGTTGAATTATTCACCTCTTGTTGACAACCAAAACAATTTTCAGCATCATCAAAATAAAACTTCTCCAAATCATATCTGGTCAGGACTTTGTCTACATCATAAAATACAACCATGTTTTTGACCAATTTGATATTGTAGTATCTGGATCAGTTTGTTGTACCTACTTGATTAATCAATCTGAAACAAAAATAAACATCAATAAATTCTCTAACAAAAGAGATCAATAAAGAAGAAGAAGTGAATAATACTACCTTCCAGACATCTTTCGCATATATAATCAGAGCATTCAGATCCTCCTATACATTCAGAGCAAAACCAGTTTTTGCATGAAATACATTTCGCTTTTTCGCCAAATATAGAAGACAGACATTCGTGGCATTTTATATATTTAGGTTTTTGACACATCCGTTTCTTTTTTAAATAAAAACGTTGCCCCACATTAGGATTTTCTCCTGTGTCGTGGGTGCGTTTACAAACATATGTCACATGCACATCACACCCAGACACGGAACAACAATCTGTGGATCACACAAGAGCTGTTCCGTGCGGGAATCGAACCCGCGACACGTTGCGCGGCAGCCAGTTGCCCAGCCACCGCGCCAACCATGCAATCAGATCTGTTTGTCTTTAGTAGTACTATATTCTCAGTAGGGATTTTATTTTTAGCTGTAGAAGGAACTGTTGACCGATATACTGTGACATTATCATGAATTATGACTGAAGGTTTTTGGGAATGATCTTTAATGGGTCCTAATAGTTCTATAGGTCTTCTTTTTGTTGGTCTTGTAATCACTTCTTCCTTTGGGTCAACAAAATTACTTAGAAATTTATTAGTATTTGACCTAATAATCTTTTTTTTCCTTTATATTTAAAGGCTGCACATTGACAACTTTCAAAGGCTAAGATATGATTGTCAACAGTGTCAGCAACGGCATTTTCAAAAAAACATATCTCGGTATTAAATACCGGACTCCCTTGAGTATTTTCGACACTGATGGCCTGTGACGGATGTTCAGCGTCTTCTGCCCGAAAGAATAAATCTGTTTCATCAATAGCGTCGAGGTCAATATTTTCAACGGTATTATTGAATTTCTCCGAAAAGTCCAGTAAAAGACAAGGATCTTCGACTATATCGCATATTTGATATCCATTATTTGAAGTCTCAGTTCA